ATAGTTTCACACATCCCATTACCAATTTTTCACATCAGAATTTGTGACACATGGGCTGACAGCAGGGCAGAATATTAAAAATCAGGACCTCCTGCAGAAATCAAGCCATACGGTTGCCATGCCGACACCCCACAATGCCAAACAGCGCCTCCAAGGTCCAGAAACAACTTGGCTGGCTTCGAATAGCCCAGACAGTGTAAAGGCAGAACTACCCCCTGGCCCAGGCTGTTATGCAGACCCTCCCTTTCCCAGCTCTGCTCTCTGTTCCCCAGGGGAGTGACGATGACGTTTGTCTGAATTTTCTCAGCCTCTGTCGGCAGGGCTGGCCACATCATCCCCTAAGAATTTGAAAATCCACATGCAGTGCCCTGGCCCAAGTAGACGGGGACATGTTCTGGAATGGCAAGAAGACCTGTGAGAGGTTTGCCGCGGCGTCTGGGGAGGGAGCAGTCCTTAGCTGCACCTACCCCTTTCAAGTTGGACATTGGATTCTTCTCTCAGAGAAAAGGAACATGTAGTCCCCTCTTTCCTTAGTTATAGTCAGATTGGAGCTCGGAACAAAATACTGGGGGCAGGGGGGTGTTATGAGGCTTGGCCGCTACCAGAGATGGGCAGAAATCCTACCTGATTTGCCTAACAAGTACTTAAGTCTTTCTGTGTGCATCAATGTGGGGATGTAAGAAGCTTCCAGCATAGTCCCTGTGTGATGGCATATATGACTAAGAACCCCCTGGAAATACCTCAGAAGGTAGGAAGAAAATGCAAGGCTGTGTCTAGGGAGGTGTGCGACCAGGGATCAATGCCTATAAAACAGACAGACACCCAGGGCTAAAATTTAAGAACAGAGAGGTAGCTGGTCAAGCCTGTAAGTGGCCAGAGAACTGTCTGGGGCTCCCTCCTGGGGAATCCCCACTCTCCCTCTCTTCTTGCACCCCTCCTCCCTGCTCTGGGATCTCCCTGACAACCGTTCACACTTTAAACTTCACTTCCAGTTCAACGCCCTTTCCTAATCTGCGGCAAATCAAACCCCAGGAGGACAAGGAGAGGGCCAGGGGATGCTCACTGGGGCCGCCCATGACCTCCAATTCCAGCCCTCAAAACAAGTGCCTTGTGCCTCCCGCAGAGCCCAGCACACCCTTCCAGGGCTTCTGAGTGGCCCTCCCGGCTGATCTCAGAAGGAAGGAGGAGTGGGGAGAGGTCCAAGGGCAAGGTCAGGATTCTGAAGCAGAGGCAAAGGTGAGAAGACTCACCAGCAGCAGTTTCTTGGTCTTCCCCTCCCTTCTGTTCCCCTCCTCTCCTTTCTCCCCTCCTCCTCCCCCTCCAGCTCAGACCCTCCTCCCAACACATCACCATAGAAGGACAGAACATCTGGCCAGCCTGCTTCTCCCCTGGTGCTCTGAGCCCACCGACCCTGAGCCCCGGGCTGGCCCTCTCCCGGTGTGAGAACCGGGCAGCTTGTACGGATCGGTGCTGTGCAAGCTCCCTGCGGGTCTGGGGCCACTACCGATTTGGCCACTTCCCACTCCAGCCTGTCCGGCTGCCCAAAGCCCAACACTCTGGGGTCCTTACACTGGAGGCTTGGCTGTATCCTCATCAGCCTTTCGGTCCAAACATCCTCAAACTGCTTTGGAAACAGTTCCTAGTGAGAGGGATCCTCAGCCTAGAAGAGAACCCTCCACCTAATCGGACTCACCCCCAGAGAGTTCAACCTGACAGGGATCTGGGAGTTGGAGGCGGGGGCTAGAAAACCCATACACCCCAAGGTCTCCTCAGGCAAAGCTGGGAAATACGGTTCCTTTGCAGATTTTTACTTCTTCCCAGGGGGATAACAAGACCCGGCATCTGGGGCAGGATGGGAATAGAACACTTCCACACTAACACCCGCCTCCACCGTATTCCTGGGGCTCAGCTGCCTTTGCACAAATATATCAGATTCTAGTCCACACAAGCCTTCACCCTCCTGAACCTGCAACCTCCCGGAGCAGTGCCACGCCCTTCCCTCCCCAGGCCCAGTTATTTCCCACCAGAATGGCCACTCGGCTCTATTCTCCCACCCTCGGCCCCGCACTTTGCTCTCCCTCCTCCTGGTTCTCTCCTGGCCAAGCTGCCCCAGCCCAGCCGCTCGTCTCGCGGGGGGCGGGGGGGGGGTGTAGCCGAAGTCTCTTGCCCGCCACCGGCTGGGTCGGCCGGCCGGGCAGAGCCTCTCCGCGGGTCCCAGAGCCTCCCGCCTCAACAGGTGCCCCTGCTACACCGAGCTGTCACGAGGGGCCCGGGCAGAGGCGGCGGCAGGCACGCCCCCTGCAGGGCGGCGGGGTCTCCGAACGCCTCAGCCTAAGTCCCCCGAGCGTCTAGGGCCCCAGCAGCACCACGGAGGCCCCCGCCGTGCTCCGCCACCTTTGTTTCCTTGCTCGCACTGGTGTCGCGGGGCCGACCTCGAAAGAGGGAATCTCCCAGCCCTAGTGCACACGCTGCCAGCAAACCCATCGTGATGGACCCTCGTGTTGGGGTGAGGAGCGCAAACAGAAAGAGACCTTTCCCGGACCCGGAGAATGCCGCGGGTTTTAGTGGGGAGTCCTCCGTGCCAAAGAAGCAAGTTCAAGTTGACCTGTGTTGAAAAGGGGGCGCAAAGCCCCCTGCGCCCCTAGAGACCCTACATAACTCAGCGCCCCCACCCCACGTCCTTTGCCCCCAGGAGACTGGAGAGGGGGTGCGCACGGCCACCTACGCGCTCAGCGGCACGAGGTTCCCACTGCCGGCTCTCTTCGCGCATCGTCCAGCCGCCTTCCCGGGGCGGACGAGGTGCGGACAGCCCCCGACCGCCGGTCCCCGGCCCCGGCGGCGCAGTGCCCAGAGAGCCACGTTCCTAGCCGCGCGCGCACACCGGGCCCACCAAACTTGCAGCACTTTCTCCCAGCCCCCACCCGCTGTCACCCTCCCTCCATCCGTGCGCCCCGGCCCCGCTGGCCCGACAGAGGTTGCCATAACAACGGGCAGGAATGCTCCAACATATACAAAGCCGGCAGGGTGCGGCGGGCACGCAGCCCCCGGCCCCGCGCCCTCTGCAGCCGCGCGGGGCTAAGGACGCGCGCCGCGGCTCCCCGGCCGGTAGCCCGGCGCGCAGGGCGTACTCACAATGAGCGGGATGGTGCGGTCCTCGCGGAGCTGCTCGGGCCTCCGGCCGGCCCTCTGAGCGACCCGGCCGCCGGAGGATGCTGCGTGGGCTCGGTTGTCCTGCCATAAGTAGTAGAAAGTGCCCAGGATCCAGGCTACGGTCAGGATGGCGATGGCATTGGCGCGGATCTTCCTCATGGTGGGCGGGCGGGCGCCCCGAGTGGGGGCCCCGGGCCGGCTTGCTCTCGGGGCCGGGGTGGGGGCGCTCGCAGCCCCAGCTGTTTGTTTTCGCTCGCGCCTGGCTGCTCAGTCCTGCAGAGCAGAAAAGGGAGAGAGGTGGGGGGTGGGGGGTGATAGGGAGAGACAGGAGCGCGGAGCGATCCTCACGGTCCTAATGCCCTTCAGCCCCGAGCGCGCGCGTCCCCCGGGCGCCCATTCATTGGCGCGCAGAGCCCGCCCCGAGCTCCAGTCCCCGCCGGCTGCCCGGGCCGCTGCGCACCGGGAGAGGAGCGCGGCGGGTGCGAAGCGGTGCGCGAGCCAGGCCCGGGGAGCCAGACGCCCGCGGTGGAATGGCGATGGGCCAGAGACAGCCTCTGCTCCCACCGCTCGGCGACCGAGGACCAGGCGGCTGCCCCCGCGCGGCCCTGGTCGGTCCCGCCTACCTCCATCCACCCCCCGCCCGAGCGGCCCTGAGTCACCGGCTGGAGATGCGCGACCCCGGCCCGGGCCCGAGCCGCGAAGCTGCAGTTCTAGGCTGCGCTCCGAACTGCGCTCTGGCGCGGGGTTTAAGGTGTGTTCGGCGAGGCCTTGGGAAGGGATGGCTGGGCGGGAGGAGAGTGGAGTTTGCACGGGAATCCTCCGCAGCCTAGGATTCCGAGCCGGCCGAGGGCCGGCCGCGAGGAGGGATTGGAAGCTGGTGCACTTGACATTCGAAGAGAGCGAAGGGGACGCGACTCGGCTTCACGGCCAGTGAAAGGAGAATGGGGGTACAACCCCTGCACATCTTCCGCTGGCGTGGGGCTCCCAGCTTTCATAAGGCTCCCCTCCAGACCTCTCACTGCCCCCTGCACAACCGTGAGGTGTCGTCACCACTATTTCCCCAGGAAGAAAGGAGGCCAGAGAGGCTGGAAGATTGGCCAGAGGCCACACGACTAATTAGTGGGCAGAGCCCAGTCTAGAAGCCGACTCTCCGTTTGCACTTTCCATAAAGTGCAAACACCGTGCTGAGACACGGACACAGTAATCACTTGCCCCAGGCCTGGAGGCATTGAGAATACTGCTCTCCTGTCCAGAGCAGAAGGAAGTATGGACTAGGAGACCAGCACAGTGTCGGCCACAGAGCAGACTCACAGTGAATAGATGCTGCATAAACCAAGTAGGGAGGCAATATTGCATTGCAAGGGGGTCTTTGGATAAGCTCTTGAATAAATTCTGAAGAGGTAGGGCAGGGGGAGGTATCGGATGCATGAATAGCCAGAGCAGAGGTCCAGAGGATGGCAGTCTTTGATGCGTTCAAGGACAAGAGCTGCTTGGTATTGCTGGGGCCAGGATGCGGAAAGGACCTGGTGGGAGTTGACCTTGAGCAGGGGCCCTTGAATGCCAGGGTCAGAGTTAGCAGGGAGTTTAGTTCTTGCCGGTGCTACAGGACGCTGGCTCCCACACGGGGTCCCAACCCACATAAGTTCCTGGCCTCTAAGTGAAGCTGCCTTAGGAATCAGGCAAAGGGGAGGGCACAGTCATGCCTTCCCCCAACCACCCCCATCAGCACCACTCATTTTCCCCTGTTTCTCCAGTGTGTGGGACTGAACCTTGCATGTTATACATGCTTCGTACATTTCTGTTGGAATGAAGTAAGATGAAGAAAGAAAACCCTAATAAGATTTGCTGCAGAAAGATCATTGTTGCAATTGTAGTACCCGCTTCCTGACTCAGAAAACTAACCACGAGGACACGTACACCAGTCCAAAAAGACCCAAGAATACGACCCTGGAAAGAGAACGTACAAAGAGAGCCTCACAATGAGTAGCAGGGAGTCTGAGGCCCGAGCCACGCGGCGGTCAGGAACAACGGTAGGTGGGTGTGAGGAGGCCACTGGCCCCGAGCAGTGGGCCAGCCTTGCTGTCCCAGGTGTCTCTTGTCTGGGGAGCTTAATTAGATTGAAGTAGGGGCCCAGATTCATTCCCATGGATGGAGAAAACCACCACCAAGCCATAGCCTGGTTTCCACAGGGGCCATGGGCTTGACCCAGTGGTCATGTCCTCTCTGGGAAGCCAGGGAAAGTTTGTTGCTTAAGGGTCAGGCCCCACAGCATCTCCAAACAACAAGAACATGTGAGAAAATGGCCCCTCTGGTGTCCCCGCTTCCACACAGGCTCTCAGGTCAGCCAGGTGGAAAGACTTAAGGAATGACCTTCTGCTGCCTCCCTCAGCCCAGCCTGGCCTATGTGTGTCTAGTTGCCTTTGGTCTTGAGAAAACCAGGTGAGAGGATGTGGGACCCAGAGACACCCCACCAACCCCTCAGGAGAAGCTCCAAACTCACGCCTAGTCTGGGGAATGAAGCCAGAGACCAGAGTCAGGCTGATGAGGTTTCTGGTGGCTCTGGAAGGAGGGCTGTATGAGGTGAGGGAGGGAAGCGGCACGTAGAGTTTGCCACATGTCTCACCTCTTATTCGCCAGGGGTCAGTGGTGAGGATGCTACACCTCTGAAAACAATTGTCACGCCCTGGTAGCTCTGTCCCCAAAAGAAGGCTGTTTCCTCTCCCCCCTGCCCCCTCCACCCCCAGCACCATCCAAAAGCTCCAGAGAGACATAGCCTCTCTGGATGATGTTAGACTTCAGAGCCAGCCCTTCCTTAGATAGACATAATAAACTTCCCACGGTGGCAGGGAGTGGGGGTGGCATAAGGAGCAGGTCATTACCATGCTCATTTGGCCAATAGAAACTTGACACAGGCGGAGGCTAAGCAATGGGCCCGAAGCCACAGCACGCTGAAAGAGCTGGGAACTAGCACCTGCTGCCTCAGCTACAACCCATGGTTTTTCTCCTAGATTTGAATTCTAAGCAGGTGCAGGCCAAGGCCCAGCCCTCCATGAGATGGATTTCAGTGTTCAGAGATAACAGGAAGCATTGTTTCCTCTCTGGTCCTAGGAATGGATTCCAGTAGAGCCACAGAATCAAAGCAACACCTGAGAGACTTGGTGTTGCCCACCACGCATTGAACTTGGAAAACAACAAGAGGGATAATGAGCCGCCGTTCACTGGGTACCCAGCAGGTGCCCACTCCTCACACATGTGATCTCTGGAGCACCCACAACCCGCATACCAGGACTTTGCGATGCTCTTGATTGCCGAAAAGCCGTATGTAGGTGAGAGGTGGGGCTAGGTTTGAGTCCATTCTCTATGCTACTGTCTGGGTCCAAGGACAGGGCTGCTGAGCACACTGGCCAGTCTGTAGGGTGGTCAGAAGTTCTGTATGCAGGGACCTTACTTCCCCGCTGGGCCTTCAATTTTCTCCTCTGGGAAAGGAGGCATGCCGGGAGATGACCTCTGAGGTCCCTTTAACTGTGCGCCCTTTTGGACTTCTGGTTCCTTGGACAGTTTCTCCCTTGTGGCATTATTCTCCGGCATGGTCCCTTCTCTTTTAAAGCCAGCAAAGCCAGCACTCAGGTGAGCTGGGAAAGCCGTGTGCCCCTGGTGCTCCCAGGGAACTCTCTGCCCCCGTGCATTTGATGTGGGGGTGGATAACAGAGGAGGGATAGGGCGTATAGTTCCGATGAGACCCTAGCTCTGGAGTTGGACAGCCTGCATTCAAATGCCAGTTTTGTCACACATTAGGAGAGTGGCTTGGGCAAACTCTTACCCTCAGTTTCCTCAATTGTAAGGGGTGCTGACAGCCCTTAACTTGCTGCACTGTTGGTAAAGGTGAGAAATAAAGCATGTAAACCCACTGCTGGTAACCAACTCAGGCCCCCACCCCAGCTCGGCCCCTTCCCAGGCACTGCTGGTGGCTGCTGGGGCAGGGAGCTCGTGCACGAGGCTGCTCAGCAGTGCTACGAAGGAGAAGAGACCCCAGACAGGCCGAACAAGGATGATCATGCTGCCCCGCCTGCCCACCCCCCTTCAGAGCCCGTGCTGAGCGGCCTGGGGAGGGCAGGGGAGAGGCCGAGCGCAGGGCCCCAGCTGCATCCATTCTCACCAGCATACCCATTATCCTTGAGACTAGTGGGCCTAGAAGCTTCTTGCCCTGTCTGCAGCTGCAGTGGGGACCCAGAGGGTGGGTGAGGGAGACTGGTTAGACCCCCATGTCTGCTCTAAGCAGGAAAGGAGACAGAGGCGGGGAACAGAATGTCACCACGCAACAGGTGCTGTGCCAAAGCACGATGGCAGAGTACTCACAATGACCCTGTGAGGAAGGCAGGACCCGTGCCTTCAGAGGCCACCCAGCCATCCATGGCACAGAGGCTCCCCACTGCCAGCTGGCACGTAGCCGCACTTAGTACATGCTCATTAAGTACTTGTTGATGGAAGGGAGGGAAGTAGTAGCTGCAGTGCGGCATCCAATTCTCTCTAAAGTCCGGCACCTGAAAGACAGTGCAGGACTGGAGCCCAGAGACAGGGAGTGGCTTGTCTGGGGTCGGCGTGGGCCAGCGCAGTGAGTAACCCGGGCTCCCCAACAGTGCTTCCTCGGGAAAGCTGCCCCACCCTGCAACCAGGGGACGGGGTGGGGGGTGGCAAACGCTGCTGAGCCACGATGGGGGTGTGTGTGTGTGAAAGATCCTCTGTGGTTCCATCAGAAGTTGGGGGAGGGACCCTGGTTCTGGGGGATTAACTGCAGGAACCCCCAATATTATTACTGATCATGGAATGAGCCAGCTGTTGCATTTGGAAATAATAAGTAAGAATGCAGAGGCTGAGGACTAATTAGAAATGTTTCAGATGCTTTTTCTTAACAGTAAGGAATTTCTACAAAGGAGAAATGCATAAATAGAGCCAGCTGGTCAGCAGAATTGGTCCCGGAGGCAGAGTCCTTTCCAAGGCCTCCCTGACCTCCCCATCTCTTATCATGTTCTCCTTCGGCCCTTCCCTCTCTGCATGGCTCCCGCGAAGATGAGTGACAAAGGTCCTCAGAACAGAACAGATGGCCCAAAATGCCAGGGCAGTCCTTGTCACATGCCCGTCTCTCACCCTTGAGTGGGAATTCCTCTGAGCAGGGCCTGGCAGCCTTCTTTTGTGCCCCTGGTCTCTAGCACAGTATTTGGGCATCGTGGCTGCACTCTCTGAATATGTGAGCAATGAGCAAAGGAGTGAATAAATACCTAGGGTGGCAGGCCGCTCCTACTCCCCCTTCTGTCGCACGAAAATGCCCTACGCCTGCTCGGACGGGAAAGCCTGTTTACGCACTGGGGTGGTATTCTCAGTCCCGTCCTTTCCTGCTCGAGTGCTTACCACGCCAGGCAATTCTATGTTCCAAGGACACAAGAATGAACAAAAGCTGATCGCAGCTTCTGAGCAGCCCAGTAACTGACCATGGGGAGATACACATAGATTTGTCACAAGAGGCTATAATGGAACTCTCCAGGGGGCTTCTTCAAGGAAGAAGTCATCTGAGAGCTGTCTTAAAGGACAGGCAGGTAGGCGAGAGGTGGAAGAATGTTCTGGGAAGAGGAAGAGGCAAACAAAGGGCACTGAGATGTGCAGGTGCATGGCAGCACAGGAAACGGGGAGGGGATTGGGTGGGTGGGGTAGGGGGCGGTGACGGCAATGAGGTTTGAGGGGTAGGAGTTGACCAGTTAACAGACGTCTGCTGGGTCTTTATAGGAAATTTGAACTTACTCTGGTAAGCCGTGGGGAGCCACCCACGATTCTAAAACAGGGAATGAGATGATCAGTGATAAATTTTAGTGAGGAGGCTGGAGACGAATGGCTGGGGGTTACAATGAGACTGTAATGGTCCAAGCAAGCAGTGCTGTGGGCCTGGATGAGGGCAGAAACTGGAGGAGAGAAAGAGGGTGGACTCAAAGGATGTGGAGATCAGCTGGAAGTGGGGACAGAGAAAAATTAAGAATAGCATGTGCATTTCTAGTGTAGGAGACAAGTGCTTTGGTGTAAGGTAACCAACCATTAACTGAAATGGGCAGTGTGGGAGGAGGAACAGATTTGGGAGGTATGTTCAACTGAACTTGATTTCTCTGTGGTCTGTCCAGAAAGGCAGCCGTAAATCCAGGTCTGGTGCTTAGGAAGGAGAATGAAAGAAGCTGTTCATGTAGAGAGGAGAAAACCAGAAGCACAACTGGGGCAAATGCACTGCCCAGCACCTAGGCATAGGAGAGAACCATGTGCATGACATTAGGACTTCTGGATCCCTCGAATGAAAATGGGGCCACAGAGAATTGGCAGTTTTTTCCGCTTCCATTAGGTAACCTGTTTCAAGACCCTGGACCCAAGCTCTTGGGAATACTCATTTCTTTTTCGAGGACCCCATCACTGGGTGCTTATTAACATGGACCCCTAGACTTAGGGCTGGAGCAAAATTTGGCTCAGAGATTAGGCAGTAAGACCAGAGAGAATCTGACGTGGAAAGAGAGCCCTGTTCCTTGTAGCTCCTTTGGTCTAATTGTGCCTGCAGTTGATACCTCCATTTTCCCTGGGAAACTCGGGGGGTGGAAATTAAGGGAATGTTCCTGGGATTGGTACATATTTTGAAGCTCTCAGCAAGGCTGAAAATATCCATCGATATATTTTGAAGTGTAATTTCCACTCCCTTACCAGCCAAAATAATTGAACAGGAAGAAAAAGCTGTTAATGCAGGAGGCGTGTAACATCAGATCCACATTGCCTGGAAATTTACCATTTCAAAGCAATTGAGGGTTTTTACTGCCAGTGTTTACAGTCATACATGCCCCCCTCTCACTGAAGCCATCAAAAGGCCCATCAATCTGGCTTGGACACTGAAGTCGTTCACGATGTCTGGAGCCGATGTCAAAGCAGACAGAATTTTTAAAAAATTATCCTGCCCTTTTGTCAGCATATGCATCTTGGGGCGTCTCTTCCCAGAAGGTGGGATGAACAGTTGGGGCTGTGTGTGCTCACGGATGCAGTGGTGGCAGGGCTCCGTAGTGCCATGGCCAGGCGCCCCCTCCACGTACCCCTCAGAGTCTCTGGCCTGGGGTCCGTGTGTGGGCTGTCCTCTTATCCACGTCCAGGTGGTCATGTCGCCCTCCTGCCCAACAAACAGGGCCTGTCTCTGCCTCTGCCTCTAGCCCGATGACACCAGGTCTGAGGGACGCAGGTCCCTCAGCAGAGTAACGTCATGCTGCCTCTCACAGCCTCTGCCCAGCTCAGCAGGACAGACGACAGACAGTAGACTTTGCAGACTTTTGTCTTCTGTCCACCGCCAATGCCCGTGTGCGTGCGTGCGCGTGCACGCACACATATGCTATTTCTCAGTTTGAAATTTGACTTCGGGTTTTCCTGGAAATTACTGAGTTTTTTCCCTATATTTGTGTTCAACAGAGGAAAATTTTAAATCCATACCCAATCATTTGTCTTTCATTTCGGAATCCATATCTTTCCAAAGGCCTAAAAAGTACCATTAGCTCACTTGGCCACCCTGGAGAAGTCACTTTCTGGGCCTCTTCTGTTTGAAATGAAGGCTTTGGTACAAAGGGTCTTGGAAGGTCCTTTCTGGTGCTAGCATTTTAAGACTCTATTTAGTTATTTTTTTTAATTGTTTTTTTTTAAATGTTTACTTTTGAGAGAGAAATAGAAAGAGAGAAAGCATCAGTAGGGGAGGGGCAGAGAGAAAGGGAGACAGAGAATCTGAAGCAGGCTCCAGGTTCTGAGCTGCCAGCACAGATCCCGACGCAAGACTTGAACTCGTAAACCTCAAGGTTATGACCTGAGCTGAAGGTGGATGCTTACCCGACTGAGCCACCCAGGCGCCCCAGTTACTTTAATATTTCAAACCATTCCTGCCCCAGCAAGAATTATTGGCAATAAACTGAGAAACAAGTTTCTTTATTATCATTTAGTCCTTCCACACACATTACATACATACATATACATCCAAACAGTTTCAAATATTCCATTGGATCAAAAATCTAAAAACTTGTAGATTAACAGACCTAAAAAGGAGAATGTGCAGAAATTGGTACATCCATGATGCCCAAAGAGGGGACTTCAGAACAGAAGTGCGAGACTTTTCATCATCCATTCGTTTGTATCTTTTGAATTTTTTGCCACATGCACTTATTACCTCTTCAGTTTAAACGTTGTTTTTTTTTTTTTTTTTTTAAGCAAGAGAAGAGTTTTCCTTTTTCTTTCTTCCACCACAGGCCTCTCTGCAGCTTAGCTCCTGGGCATGGAGGAGACCATGACGGGCCGGGTGTCACACCCCAGAAGCCACCCCTCAGCCCAGGCCCTGCCCGAGACGAGGTCCCAGCCCTCTAGCTGGGCTGGGCTGGCCCACAGCCCTGCTCCCTGCTGCCCCCGTGCATGGAGGGGCTCTGCGGGCGCGCACCGCTGCCGGCTGCCCTTGCTGCGGGGTCTCCGGCTGGCTGGGCAGTCAGGCTGGCACAGGGACTCCGCTCAAGGTGTCCCAGTAAGGGGCTGGCGTGCACGGCTCCAGCAGCCTGATGCACAAAGGGGCCCAAGAGTCCAGTAGATGGGGAAGTGCATGCATCCAGCTTTAAATTCTCCAGGTCTGGTCATTCCCTTTCAAAGACGGACTGCGTTTTGTTTTGTTTACTGCTAATGTAACATGAGGGCAGGAACACGAAAGGAAAAAGAACAAAAGGGCCAGAGATGCATGGGGAGAAAGGGTCTTTGAGGCTCCCCTTTCACCTGGCCACACCCTCTGCTTGGTAGAGCTGGGCTCTCTCACTGGTCTCGCCCCCCTGGTTTTCTCCCCTAGTAGAGCCCCCGCTCAGCTTTCCCTTGTGACAGCTGGCTACCACCCGGCCTCCTTCTTCTACCTCCTGTTCTGATTATCACCTTCAATGGGTGCTGGCCATCGTCACTTCTATTGTCCCCCATTTCCCCCCTTCTGACTTACCTATTTCACTGCCACACTGCCCAGTGACAGCCGCCATCTTTGAGGTCCACTACCCAGACTGGCGGTGTCACCTGCTCCATGACTGGGATTGCTCAAGGTAGGGTCCATTCGAAACCCCTGCACCCAACTTCTCTCCAGGGTCAGCAGAGCCCAGGTGAGGGCAGGCTGTCCCCCAGCAGGCCATGGGAAGGTACGGACAAGGGGACAATTGAGAAGCCATGGCAGAGCAGCAATGGAGACAGCAGATGGAGACGTGCACTTGACCGAGTGGACACAAGAGATGAAAAGATACAGAGTATGAGGTAAAACAGCTTCAGGGAAGGAAAAAGCAGAGAGCGAAAACCAATAAAAGTGTAATGAATACTAAAACCAGACAGGCCTGAAAAGAAGCCATCAGGAGAGCTTCGAGAAGAGGCAGGTCAGGGAGGAGGAGCAGGAGGGCTGGGAGGGGGCAGTGTGGGAGGGGCTGGAGGCAGGAGGAACAGTGTGACAGAAATCTCTCAGGAAGGGTCGTTCACCTCCCAAGCTGTTGGGCTTATTGGCTGCAGCAAGCAGGATCTATTTAAAACACAGCAGGCATTTTGCCTCGGTCTGTTTCCCCGTCTAGGGAAGGCTGGAGCCAAAGGCTTCGGGAACCATTCCAGCATTAGGACCCTGCACGGATGACAGAGCTGAGACCACGAGATCCTTGCCCCCTCTGGGGATCAGCCCCCTCTCCCCTGAGACGAGCTGCCAGGCCACTAAACGCACAGCACATTGATCTGCGTCCCAAAGGCTGCTTGTGTTCTCGCTTCCACTGGGAAACTCTCAATGACTTCCTTCATTTGGTCTTCAAGCTTGTCAGAAAGCAGGTGCTGCTCAAATGTGACAGCTGCTCTAAAGGGCTGCTCACAGCAAGCTCCCTGACCAGTGGGAACATTTGCAACGATGACAGAAGAGGCCTTGGGTGATGAGACAGCAGCAAGACAAAGAGAAGAGGGCAGCAAAGGATGTCACCGGTAAAATGGCCCCAGGGAAACCACAGGGGACCCGAGCTGGAAAATACCCACAGCCTCGCGCCTTTCTCTGGACTGTGTAACTTTGGGAAGCTTTAATCTGGGGAAGACCTGACTCCTCATCCACCTGCCATAGAGGAGTGCAAAGTAAGGCTGGGAGCTAAAACTGGCTGAGGAAAGCCGTCTGTCCATCAAGCTTTGGTTTCTCTCCATTTGAGAAGTCTTCCTTCCCTGGCTCTTGAGCTTGTAAATTGTGTAAAATACTGTTCTGGGCTTAATATAAGTTCTCTGCTTTGCATGACATTTATATTCTTGAAAAATGTAGTGTACAAATCAAATCAAATTTTGCCTGCCAGAGAAGCTGGCTTTTCAAAATAAATCTGAGGTCAATCCTATGTTTCAAGAGACGAATGGCTTGTGAAGGTGAATAATTATCCCAGTTCATGTGTGTAACCTTGGAATTGTGAATGTCTGACTCACGATATCTGTGGGGGTGGGGGTGGGACTGTCTAGAAATCCACCTATAGTCTGCTTACAGGTTGCAATTAAACATTATTTTAAAACGAACAAACAAACAAAAAAACCACACAGATAAGCATGTTGCAGGAGCCACTGCTAAAAAAGTACAGATTTTTTAAAAAGTTAATTATGGAAAATTTCAAATATATATCTTAAAAGAAGTAAGCCCAATATAAAACAAGCCAGCTCCCACAATTGTCGACTCATGGCCAATCCTGTGAGAAACTTGGACTTCTGGGCCAGGTGACAGATAAAGAGAATGAACTTTACAGGGCAGGACAGACAGGATTAGTTGTCCTGAAGCTGTAGGTCCAAGTTTCTGCATAAACGCCCTACACCAGAGCCGAGAGTGTAAACAGAAGGGGAGAGAGACATATTCTCAGTTAAAAACTAAAGAACAGAGCTGGGACTTACCCCTGCCCCTGCCCCTACCCCCAGGCGGAACAATGCACAAGTAACAGGAACGGTGGTTACCTTCATCGAGCGAAAGGACTAGGGAGGAGATTCCCTTTTCATTATGTGTTAAAAAAAGAAAAGTTTTGGGGCGCCTGGGTGGCTTAGTCGGTTAAGCGTCCGACTTTCGCTTAGGTCATGATCTCGCGGTTCGTGGGTTCGAGCCCCGCGTCGGGCTCTGTGCTGACTGCCAGCTCAGAGCCTGGAGCCTGTTTCAGAGTCTGTGTCTCCCTCTCTCTCTGACCCTCCCCTGCTCACGCTGTCTCCTCTCTCCTCTAGAAATAAATAAAACATTAAAAAAAAAAAAAGTAAAAAAAAAAATTAATAAAAAAAGAAAAGTTTTTGCACTATGTGCACATATTACCTATTTTCAGAAGTAACTTGTAAAAAACAAATATCACGAAACTCTGCAGTAACTGCATCAACTAGATGGGACAACGGAGCAAACTGCCCCAACTCAGATGCCAAATCTTTATCCCAGTTTGACCTGGATTTGCTGTCTTATAGGAATTTGCTCAGGTAGATGAGTGCACAACCTTCCAATCCCAGGCTGTACATCATCAGAATAGGCGTTCCACGTGACATAAGAAACCTCAATCCCAAGAGCTGGAGTAATGGGACTTGGTGGGGGGTGGGAGTCGCAGTCCCGGAGCCTGAGGGGCTGGCACTGGCGCTGAGCCCAAAGCCCTGGGTGGGAGCCTGGCCAAGGCTTGCACACCCCGCCCCACCTGCTCATCGGTGCCCCGATCCACGTGGAGGTGGGCCCCACCATGGTGGGTGACGAGCACTCACATCCAGAGCCGCTCAAAGAAAAGCATCTTGGGAAACCACTTTTGTGAGTACTTCATCAATGACCCCTCCTCACAGTCCTGGACAAGCTGGAACGTAAAGGCTACTGTGCGCTGAGCGTGACGGGGGGGGGCCGGACAATGGTGTGGTGTCCGTACACGGGGTGACTCACACTGAGGAGTGGATGGGGCACTCCCTTTTTGAGTGGTTTCCAATCCTGAGCCCCCCATTCACTCATTGCCTAGCTCCTCTCTTCCCAAATCATCACTTTGCTCAGCCCGGTACCACTGAGCAGCGAACAGCCTTTTCTGAAACTTGCCTCAGCCAGTGGGAGAGGTTCAGGCCTGGCTGAGCGCCCTAGAGGAGACCATGTGCTGTGGGCAGGCTGAGGGGCTGTCCCTGGCCAGGAACTGGGAGCCCCCAAGAAACACGGCCCCAGGACTGGGCAGGATGGCCCTGCTTAGCTGCCAGCCCAAGCCAGTAAAGGGCTGTGATGAGTGGTTGCTCAACAAAAGAAAAGGAGAGAGAAAGGAAGCTGAAAGGGAGGGGAAGGGAAATGAGGGGAAGGGAAGGGGAAGGGGAGGGGAGGGTTATATGGGCACATACGATTTGTCCTAATTCATGAGCTCTACTCCTAAGATTTGTGCTTTATGTTCATTATGCTGCACATCAATAAAGCATTATTAACAACAACAAAACCCCTAGCCCTTGTGAACAAATGAGTCCAAGAATCACCATTTGGGGGTTTACTGGGCTGGTGGTTCAGAAAAACTGTTGTTTTGCGAACATAACATGATGTAGGCTTTTTGTAAAAACTTGTTCTTTGGAAACCATCACTACAGCATGTGCTTTTGGTTAAGCATTCCAGGGCTGAAACGCAACTCTATGCTAAAATGCCGAGAGGATGAGGCACAATCTTGGCCAAGGTCAAGCTCTGCTGATGGTTTGAGAGGGGGACGGCAGCCAACTCCTCTGCACTTGTATAACATTTAAAAAAGAAAAACTAACCCCAAGCCATCTTCTGCCCCTTTTCTGAGCCAACATTAGTCCTGCTCATTGTATCCATGCACTCAGAGGAAGCCGTACGTGGCTACAGCTCAGGCCAACCAAACCCTAGGGCCAGACATACATACTTTGGTTAAAAAAACCTAAGAGACTTTTACATTCAGAGAACACACTGAGGATTGCTGGAGGGGTGTTGGGGGGGGGGGGGCTGGACAAGGGGCACTGAGGAGGGCACTTGTTGGGATGAGCACTGGGTGTTATACGTAGAGGATGAATCGCTGGATTCTACTCCTGAAATCATTATTGCATTATATGCTAACTAATTTGGATGTAAATTTAAAAAATAAGTGAATAAAATATTGAAAAAATAAAATAAAAGCAAAAAAACAAAAACAAAAACAAAAAAAACCCCTAAGCTAGCAGACTGGGATTCTAGTTGGCTCTGTGGGATATAACAAAAGATGTCAGAATTCTAGATAAAAATAGTGTTTGTCAGAGCTTTTTCCCGAACTACAACAGCAAAATAACCCTTATTTGGTAGAAACATGAAGGTTCATGTCAATATCTAGGTGATTATTATAAAAAGTGCTTCAGGAGCACCTGGGTGGCTCAGTTGGTTAAGTGTCCAACTTTGGCTCAGGTCATGATCTTACAGTTCATGGGTTTGAGCCACGCGTCGGGCTCTGTGCTGACAGCTTGGAGCCTGGAGCCTGTCTTCAGATTCTATGTCCCCCTCTTTCTCTGACCCTCCCCTGCTCATGCTGTCTCTTGCTCTCTCTCTCAGAAACACATAAAACATTGAAAAAAAAATTTTAAAGCCCTTCAAGTCTAGCACATTTGGTCCAAATCTGTACTACACAAAGAAAAGCCACACCCTCTTTGGGACTGAAACAAAGCACTAAGGATGAACTGGGAAATATATTTTCTGTCAGGTCATAGGGAATGAATATATATCTATATATCTATATCTATATCTATATCTATATAGATATATATATATAGAGAGAGAGAGAGAGAAACATCTTCCAGAAGCTTATTAAATACAAACTTCACATTCTGCACATGTGTGTCTTGCTGGTGGCCAGGCAAAGGTAAGAGGGACAAAGGGTTATACAAGATTCAGACCCCAGAAACTACCCAGGCTCCCTCTGAGTTGATCATATCTTGGGACTTACTGATGGACAACAATGTGTTAACATTTTGGATCCCTCAAATTTTCTTAGGCAGTCATGACAACATAAAAAAAGAGAGAATATTTTTAACTTATTGGTTTAATGTTTTCCTTTTAAAGTACCTAATTCTATTCAATCCTCTACAGTATAGCCTTAATTTCTCCTATCCTTAAAATGAAAAACACTCACTCTTTTTTTCTCAGTATCTTCCCATCTACAATAGCTGGCAAACTTGCCTCATTTCCATTCTGTGCTTATCTCTTATTAAACTTTATAGCACTAGCAACGAGGGTGAAGATAAAGCTTTCTCTTCTTTCTTTATTGTTAAATAGTGAACTCAGTAGAAATGTGAGTTCCCTAAGGCCACACACTGCACATCTCTGGTGAGAAGCGTATTTCAACCCCAGGGGGAGTGCCAGATGGAGGAAGCAGGCTTCTCTCTAGTCAATGAGGCCACGAGGCCACAGTGTAGCATCCTGCTTTCCTCATTTCCCCCTCTCCATGCACAGTCTCCATTTCCAGAGCTAGAGGCAGGATGAGAGTGTGCAACGAAGGAGAAGGTACACAGCTCCCAAGGGAAAGCACCACATAAGAAACAGGGGATGTGTTACAGGAAGCTACAGCTAGGAGGGTCCTTAAAGCACTCATAATTGCAATTTCTAGCTTTATTGGTAAAGAAAGGGGTCCAGAAAAGTTAAGCAATGAGTCCAAAGATACACAGCTAATGGCCAGAACCAAACCCCAGGTCACCAGCCCACTCCTCTGATCCTCCAAAACACGACAGAACTGAATACAGGGAAAAGCAAAAGAGAAAGTTAAGTCCATGGGATATACCTCCTATCAACCCCACTAACCAAATAAACATACTTCTTTTAAATCTAGCCATGTCTTAATCTCCCATTTCTTTTCAGCTGTTAGCTTACTAAGCTCAGATGTTTGGTTTTTATCCAGGACTTAATGGATACCCTGGTGGCCTGAACAGTCAGAATTTCAACTCTGCCCCAGCATGTTGAAGCCTGAAAAGGGAGATCTTTGGGAAGCTGGAATAGAATATAACTAGCCTCTCTAACTCAGGAATATTCTGGACCACACATCACGCTTATAATAATGCTGACTTCAAACTCAGCAACTTTTGGAGCTTATGCAGGCAGAAAGGCAACAGACTACCCATTTAGCAAGAGGAAAATGGAAGAATTAGTAACCAACAAGGAAGCCAGAAGGAAGGCAAATGCTCTGAGTTCAGTCTGGAGGGTAGGAGATTGAGTACTTCTGGGGAGAGCAGAGAAGGACCTTTTAAGGCAGCGTGCACTCACTGGAAGAGGATACAACCCAGGACGGGTGAACTAGGTGCTCTGACGTCCCCTATTCCTATGCAAAGGAAGTGAGTTCTTGACTGTTTACCCACTTGGTCCAGTAACCCACAGTATCTTGGGGCCTCCAACAATAGTGGGGGTCAGACAGAGCTGGTCACATGGAAATAATAGTCTGTGCTTCTCACCCTCCCAAATAACATCTTGGCATTAAGGCAAGGGCCTCGATGCCTCAAGCAAAGGGGGCAACGAACACATTTCCAAGCAGGCCGGTGGGATAGGTGATTTGAACAAGTGAGCTCTCTGGCCGTATATAAGCCCTGCTCCATCGCCTGCTGTGGAACTGCCGCAGGGCAGGGCACGGGCAGAAGGTGTAAGGCTCCAGCATGAGGAGACAGCTTGGTGAATGCCTACCATGTATCATGGAATTCCAAAGCAGAAGTATTCTGGGCACTACGTACTATGTGTATGTTATTCAGACTGAGAGTTCATCGCAACAAGGTCATTCTTCCATCCTCTTCCAGCTTATTTCATCCGAGAAAGACTGAATCCCACTGTATTCTCTAACGATTAGGTATCCAAAAATGGCCACTACTCAACAGAAAAGATAAGAGATCAGAAAGGACCCTTTTAAAATACATAATAATCAGTAAACTAGCCTACTGAGAAACTATCTTCTTTAAAAGTAAAAAAGTGATACCTCTCATGAGGATGAGACAGAATGAAGGGGGGAAAAAAGGAAAGGATAAATGAATGAATGAAAAACTCAGAGAGGTAAAGTAAACTAAGAATTTAAATTATAGTCAGATCTTACAGCCCCAACTAACAGGTAGAAAAGGAAGCTGAACAAAAGCTCTTTCTGCCTGCTGGGTTCCTAAGAGTTTAAAATGAGGGATTAAAATGGCTTTATTTCAACAGAACACATTTTGTCATCAGATCCCCATCCGTGATGTGGATAAGAATAAGTAACTTACGGCTGCACTCTTAAAGGCAACAAAGCCCTAAGTCGTGTGCATTTCACTTTATGATAGCAAATCTCTGATTGCTTGTGTATCCTGCACACAAAAAAAGAACTGTCTGTAATTTTTATTTTACCTTTTTTATTTTAAAATAAATAGCGTTTCAAAAAAACACTGACTGTAAGAGGAAATGAGTCAGTAAAGGACGGGAGACAGAGGGGAAGCAGAAAAAAAGACTCAGCCTAGAAATAAAACGATCAGGGCACACTCAGAGAGGCCCTTGCCATGACCCTGTCCTCTCACTGCTGCTCACACGGAGGTGCAGCAAGTGTCCAGGGACACGAGCTAGAGGGTCAGAGAGAAGCACTCCCTTGATATACACTCCTAAAAGGTGGTATCAATTGGTCCTCGCTCCAGCAATGTGAGCCCCCGCCTCCTCAGCCACTTTGTAGGATTCTATCCTAAGGAAATTATCAAGGGTATGGTCAAAGATTTATACAAAAGACAGCTCATCACAGCATCACTGCCATTAACAAAGGATCTCAAACAACCATAATTGTCAACAGTGAGGGAATGGACAACTAAATAAGGCAGGGCCACTAGAAACTTACTTTCACAGGAAATTAATTACTTGTGCTACCATGTTAAGTGAGAGGAAAAAACCAGGATGCCATGCTGTATATATGTATGACTCTGAGTTCTGTTTTCATTACGTGCATTTTTAACTAGTGAAAGGAAATTCACGGACATACCAGCAAAGGTTAGGTGTGTTCTAGAAGGAGGGAAGACAGATGATTTTCATTCCTTCTTTTAGACTCAACTCTAATGAACATACGCTACTTTTCTATCAGCAAAAACTAATACATATTTATTTTATAATATGCCTCCTGTAAGATGTCTCATTTGAGATCACCACTGTCTTAGGGAAAGGCTGTTACGGTCCAAGGCTCACTCAGAGAATAAAGAGTCAGATCTACACTGTGACCTGTGAGAAGGAGCAGAAATGTCGAGTGCCAGTCTGGTGGCTTTCCCCAGGCTAGCTGCTGCCGCAGGAGGCTCTGTTGAGAGAATCCATTCCTGCTTCCCACAGCGACTGCTGCACCTAAATGACCTCGGATGTGTTTCTCTCCTCTTATGAGGATCACAGGAAAAGAGAACGAAAGCACCCTCCTCCCAGGTTTCAGAGGAAGAAGTTTTCCTAGTAAACCTACCAAAATGACCCCAAATCGGTTACACCGATTTGGCAACGTAAGTCATCAGTTATATTCAGGAACCATGTATAAAATGCCTATTTCTCAAGAATGAATATAAAGCAAAATCTATGAGTGCCACCTTGTGGCAAGCCTGCCTGCTCTGACGACCACCCCTCAGTCTCCGTGATTCTCCACACCCCGGGCTCCTGAGCATGGGGTGTAGCCGCTGCCATGCAGGCCCCATAATAACCCCTAATAACTGCCCCAAACATCCGTTCCCCAAGGTGGCTGGTACTGTTCACTTTCAAAGATTTCCAGCTGAGATCCCAGGAGTGCCTGTTTGAGGACAGGTGGGAATGAGGGGGCAGAGAAGCAAAACGCAAGACGTGCACAGCCGCAGAGACCGTTCGTTGACGGGCGGAGGCCGCACTGTATGTGGTACGTCTGGGCACACACCGTGCCCCCCCCAACACGGCAGGCACCTGAAGGACAAATATCCCCTCTCCCAAGAATAGTTACCGATTCCATAAAGCTGTGAAGAAAAAAAGGTTTACATTTACATTCAGTGAGCTTTGTGCTTAGAAGTTTTATTTATCAGTGTTAGGACAACCATCACCAACTCGGGCACAATTTCAAAACAGCTCCTGTTGGATTCTGGCCATAAAATTCTTTTTCAAGTTTCTAAGATCTTGTAGGGTAAAAAAGTGTTCCTAAAACTTTAGAAAATATACTAATCACTACTAAAACTTGATTTCATGCTCAAAGTGGCGGCCTCACATAAAAAGATGAAACATCACCGTTTTGAACATCTGAACACGTTAACGGAGGCCCAGGCTTGAGGGGAGGTGGACAAAGCCTCACAAGGCAGCCTGACCAAAGGACTCCAGGAGAGAATTAGGTGCTTAGAAGAGGTCAGTGTTACAAATCTGATGGAACACAGAACACGGAAGGGGCCGGATACTGATTCTGACAGAAGATAATCTTCTTCTCAGAAAGGGATTAAGCTGAAAACCTTGCACTTCCGGACAGGACTGCATCAGACAGACAACAAAGAGCATGAAAGGGAAAGCCGAGCAGGTATCAGAGTTCTCTTGAGAGATGGTTGCTCCTGCTTCTCTCTGCCCCAGCCAGCTTCAAGGCCCACTTCCAGCAAAGGATTTCCTCCAGTGTTCGGGTGAAAGCATATGGCAGGAAGTCGCTGCTTTGGTCCTAGACGTGGAAAGCGGAGCATTCTCAAGTATGGAAAGAAACTGAAGTGACCTAGAGGGGATGGATCTCAACCAGGTGAGCTGTGGGAGAGCATTAAGCCAAGGAATTTATAATGAAGATGAGCTTGAACTGGAAAAACGAATCTGGCTCCTTATTCACCTCTCTAGCCTCTGGAAGAATGTTTTCTCCCCTCCTGTCCCGGTGGGATTAAAATCCTTGACCGCCCCTGTTGCAGAAAAACCAGCATACTGCACAGGAAAGAGATGTACTAAAAACCTGAGCAACTTGACAAGTCACTTCAGGGAAGAATCCTTCATTTGCTGTGTCTGTACAAGGGAAGCAAAAGAAGGAAAGTAAAATAAAGGCTTTGGCCCTTTTGTCCACAAAAAATACAGTAAGAGGGAGGGAAAAAGTTCTCACCCTGCCCAACTAAGATTCAAACCCAGAAGCTCCCTGTGAAGCCACAGCCTTGCCCCACCAGAGGCATCCAGAGACCAGTGTGGGTTAGCATTCTGAGTTGTGCCACTAGGCTCTGACAATCAGTGACAGGGGGAGAGGTGACTTTCCCACCTTGGCTCAGCGTCCCAGCTGTCCTTGCCTGGGAGGAGAGCAGCTATCACGACAGCTTGATGGGCAGGTCTTCCCCGTATTTCCGGAGCAGCTTCTGATGGTTGTGGTCCACGGACCACTGCTGGGGCAGGTGCTTGGGCTGCATGGCGTCCAGGAAGTGCTGACGCCAGCGGCTCTCCAGCTGCATGAGGGAGCGCAGCCCGCCCTGGCTGTGGCACTGCACCACCTTCAGCCCGTGAGGGACGTAGTTTTCATTGGAAATCCTGGCGAGACACAAAGTACAAGGGTCAGAGCGAGACAAGCCCAGGACAGTCTCACAGATGGCTCCTCAGGCTGTGGGCCCAGGGGCTGAGGCAAGGGCGTGCGAGGAGGTTGCTGGACTCCTACAGGGTCAGCTACTTTAATGTTTTTAAAACATCTTTCCTAGGGGTGCCTGGGTGGCTCAGTCAGTTAAGCGTCCGACTTCAGCTCAGGGCTTAAACTCTTGGCCCATGAGTTCGAGCCCTGAATCGGACCCTGTGCTGACAGCTCAGAGCCTGGAGCCTGCTTCACATTCTTTGTCCCCCTCTCTCTCTGCCCCTCCCCTGCTCGTGCTCTCTTTCTCTCTCTCTCTCTCAAAAAATAAACAAACATTAAAATTTTAAATTATTCATTCTGAACCATACTCAGTATCTATATAGGGCTGTTAAACCACCCCACATGTCCCAATTTTTTCTAGCACTGTAATACTTGAATGTAAAAGGTGAGGTGGTACATTTCTTTAGTGTCTTCTTTCTCACAGAAAGAATGCCAAACCATACGGCATAGGCAACACAGGTGATGGTACTGCAATAGTGTTCTATGGTCACAGATGGTAGCTACACTTGTGATGAGCATGGCATAACATATAAACCTGTTGAATCACTGCTGTGCACCTGAAACTAATGTAATGTTGTGTGACTCTGTGTCAACTACACTTCAATTAAAAAAAAAAAAAAAGACGGAGTTGTCTGGCTGGCTGAGTCGGTGGAACTTTCAGCTGTTCGTGTTGGGGTTATAAGTTACAGCCCCATGAGGGCTGTAGAGATTACTTAAAAATAAAATCTTGGGGGGGTGCTTGGGTGGCTTAGTCGGTTAAGCGTCCGACTTTCGCTTAGGTCATGATCTCGCGGTTCGTGGGTTCGAGCCCCGCATCGGGCTCTGTGCTGACTGCCAGCTCAGAGCCTGGAGCCTGTTTCAGTCTGTGACTCCCTCTCTNTCTGTGACTCCCTCTCTCTCTGACCCTCCCCTGCTCACGCTGTCTCTCTCTCTCTCTCTCTCCTAGATATAAATAAAATATTTAAAAAAATTTTTTTAAATAAAAAAATTAAAAAAATAAAATCTTGGGGCACCTTGGGTGGCTCCGTCGGTTGAGTGTCCGACTTCAGCTCAGGTCATGATCTCATTGATCATGAGTTCGAGCCCCACGTCAGGCTCTCTGCTTTCAGTGCAGAGCCTGCTTCGGCTCTTCCGTCCCTGGCCCCGCTCTCTGCACCTCGCCCACTCACACTCTCTGTCTCTCTCAAAAATAAATAAACATAAATAAATAAATAAAATCTTAGGGGCACTTGGGTGCCTCAGTTGGTTAAACATTCGACTCTTGATTTCGGCTCAAATCATGATCTCACGGTTTAGGGGACTGAGCCCTGTGTTGGCTCTGTGAGCTAATAGCATGGAGCAAGCCTGCTTGGGATTCCCTCTCTCTCTCTCTGCCTCTCCCCGGCTCATGCTGTTTTCTCCCTCTCAAAATAAATAAATAAACTTTAAAAAAAATAAAATAAAACCTTAAAAAAAAAAAGAATGCCAAACCACATCCACGCGAGACCTGTTTCGGTCCCATGAAATATTCAGTTGTGCAGCTGGTGCTGTTTAATGAGAAAATCAATCCCTTCCTCCCTCCTAACTCAGCAGAGGGGCCTTAAAACCTGTTCTGTTGCCACGCAAACAGTGTGTTTACCTCCTATGAGTAAAGACTAATTTTCTCAAGGAAGCTACTACCCCATGGACTCAGTTCACTTCCTTACATCCACAACCCCCTCTCAATCCCCCCTGCCTCTCCCCCATTCTAGCAGCGCTCGCGCCCTCCGGGTATCTGTGGACAATTTATTGCTTAGCTCACCAGTGTGCCACTAACTAGCCTATCCTTCCCCAAACAGCTCTTCTCAGTCCCAGACATCCAAGTCCAGCATCCTCCTATCTAAGTCGGCAAGGTGATTTGTTACAAAGGTCTGTGGTGAAAGGGGAAGTTTGCCTGTTTCAGCAAATACATCTGGGAACTGGTTAAAGGAACCTTAATTTCTCACAGGACCCTGGAAAGTTACTTAACTTTATTTAGTTCATGGTAGCTAACATAAAACTTGGAAAATAACATCTACTCTACAACCTCACAAGGTAGTTATGAGGATAAAACTCAGTAATATTGTATTAACTTTGAAAGATTTAAAAAAGGCTAGATATAATGCTAGCAGTTACCAGTAAGAAATCTAAATCCTATCTCATGGGTTTGTGATAAGAACTAATTAAGGCAATTTATAGAAACTTTATTATCTGGGTTAAACACATTAAGATATCCAGAGATATTTGTTTGATAATTGTTTGTTGCCATATTTAACATTTTTTGGTAACAAAACTCTATAAGCAAACAGCATCACTATCTGTTTGGTGAACTTATCAGCTCAATTATTTCAATCCCTAGGACTTCTAGAAAAGAGACAGTTGGTAAGCAAAACTATAGCAAGTGACACAGGAGTTTTTCCACCTCAGCCACGTGCCCATTCATTTCTCAGGACCAGAAGCTTCTCATTTAGGAACATCGAGTTAAATCCTAGAAGTTCAACCATGTATTCGTGGGGAAGGAGAGAAACCAAAGAAGGAAGGGAAAAGGAGAAAAGTAATTTAAATGATAAGAGCAACTCTAGCCAATATTCCAATCAGTGGGCCAGTACTCTGAGTCCAGGTGAGACAGCAAACATGAAGCCACTGGTCTCACTTCCCACCCATCTGGATGAGGTAAGAGACACAAAACCACACACGTCGTGCTCGTGGGCAACTTCAGAGATCTGAGGGTATTCTTTGAGTATTATTTTCTTCTTCTGTGCTGGCTTCAGGATTCACTTCTGCACAGAACCTCTAAGGCACAACCCCACTGCAGTTGAACTCACCTGCTAATCATGAAAATGACTGGACACATAGGACCTTAAAAGGGCCAAGACAGAAGGCAAGTCTCCTATGGAAAGGAAATTCTCGAAAAGATTGTACTATCCCAGCCCCATGGTATTTTTAAGCCATTAGACATATGACAGTATAACACAAGGCTATGTACGACAACCCCCCCACCCCCGCCCCGCCCCAAGCAAGCAACCTCACTAAGTGGTCAGGGTTAATGCACTGGGTTAGCACTGGGTTACTCCTCAATCCCTTCTTAGACCAGAACTGTAGACTGTACCTGGTCTCCAGGCTGGCAGCCTCTTGAAGCATCTCATCCGTGATGGTGTCTGTGTTGTAAAACTCTCTGAGGGCTTGCAGCAGCTCCTCCTTCCGATGAGCAGGCAGGCTTTCTGCGTTGAGCAGGGCCCTGGCCCCAGAACGTACCTGCCGGCGCTCGGGGTCTTCCAGCAGGCGCAGACCCTCCTCAGAGCCAATGGGGGCCTGGAACTCCCTGGCCAGCTGCTGCTTCAGGTGGTTGTCATAGTAGTTAGAGACGGCGTGGCAGGAGGTACAGAGCAGCAGCACATCGTGGGAGTTGTGGTCCTTCATCTCAATGGGGAAGTGCTTCCGGTACTCATGTGGAATCACGTTCTTCCTGCCAAGCCCACCCAGAAGGCAGTGTTCATTAGCAGATGACACAGGACACATGTGGAGCTGGCAGGCGGGCCCCTGGAGTCTCATCTGAGCCTAAACACAACTGAGCAGCCCCGGGCACCACAAGCTGACAGAGATTACATACAGGCAATACTACCTGTTCCACTCTCGGGCTGCCTAGCTACCTGTGCCTCAGTTTCCTCTCTCCTAGAAGAGAGTTCATACCATCTGCTCTCAAGAGTCAGCGGCGGGCCCATGGCCGAGGGAGGCTAATAACAACCTTTGCCAAGCTTGTACTCCCAGAAGGAAGCGTATTAGAGAAAGGAAAAAAAAATACTAATGGCCTTTAACATCTAGAAAACAACTCTCTCAAAGCATGTAGCAGGTAACCTCTAAATATGGAAGCCTGGTGACCTGAAACAACCGACTTCCTTCATCTGAGAAATCCCTCCCTCAGACTATTTCCTTCCAGGCTCATCAAGGCCCAGCATTGTTTTCTAAGGAGAACTAGGCCCTCAGGAAAAACTCTTAAGAGCAACAATTATTCATCTCACTTTGTAAGAGGAGAAAGTAGGAAAGTGAGTTACTCCACAGAAGCCAGGGAGAAAACCCAAAGTGTGCTTTTGGGTCATCTAAATACAGCAGGCATGCGTCATCTTACTGCACTCTGCAGGTATTCCGTTTTTCACAAAGTGAAAGTTTGTGGCAACCCTGCCTCAAGCAAGTCTACTTGGCCCCATTTTCCCAACAGCATTTGCCCACTTTGTGTCTCTGTGTCATAATTTGGTAATTCTTGCAACATTTCAAACCATTTCATTATTATTATATTCATTATGCTGATCTGTGGTCCGTGATCACAGGTATTACTACAGTGATTGTTCTGGGAACACCATGAACCACGCCCACATTAAGATAGCGAACTCAACCGATAAATGTGTGTGTTCTGACTGCTCCGCCAAATGGCCAGTCCACTGTCTCTCTCCCTTTCCTGGGGCCTCCCTATTCCTTGAGATGCAACGCTATTGATATCAGGCCAATTAATAACCCTACAATGGCCTCTAAATACTCAAGTGAAAGGAAGGGCTGCACATCTCCCACTTTAAATCAAAAGCTAGAAATGATTACACTGAGTAAAGAAGGCGTGTGGAAAACCAACACAGGCCAAACGCTATGCCTCTGGAACTAGTTAACCAACTTGTGAATGCATAGGAAAAGTTCTCAAAGGAAATTAAAAATGCTGCTCCAGTGAACACATAAATGCTATGCAAATGCAACAGCCTTCCTGTGGATATGGAGAGAGGTTAGTTGTCTGGAGAGAAGATCGAGCTAGCCTCAATGTTATCTTCAGCCAAAGCCTAATGAAGAGCAAGCGCCTAACTCTCTCCAAGTCTGTGAAGGCTGGGAGAGGTAAGGCAGCTGCAGAAGAAAAGTCTGAAGCTGGCAGAGGTTGGTTCATGAAGTTTATGGAAGGAAGCCACCTCCACAACACGAAAGCGCAAGGTGAGGCAGCAAGTGCTGATGTAGAAGCTGCAGCAAGTTCTCCAGAAGATGCAGCTGAGATAATTAACGAAGGTGGCTGCACTAAACAACAGATTTTCAATGTGCATGAAAAAGCCTTCTACTGGAAGGAGATGCCATCTAGGACTTTCAGAGCTAGAGAGAAGTCGGCTTGGGTACAAATCCTCAGAAGACAGGCTGACTCTCTTGCTAAGGGCTAATGCAGCTGGTGACTTGCAGTGGAAGCCAATGCTCACGGACCAGTCCAAAACTCCTAGGGCACTTCAGAATGATGCTAAATCTACTCTGCTTGTGCTCTCTAAGTGAAACAACAAAGCCTGGATGACAGCACATCTTTTTACAACATGCCTTACTGAATATTTTAAGCCCACTGTCGAGACTACTGCTCAGAGGAAAAAAAAAATCCTTTCAAAATGTTACTATTCATTGACAGTGTACCTGGTCACCCAAGAGCTCTGATGGGGCTATACGACATTAATATCGTTTTCGTGTCTGCTGGCACAGCATCTATTCTGCAGCCCATGGGCGAAAGAAGTCACTGCAGAGGTGGTGGGAATAGCAGGAGAACTAGAATCAGAAGTGGAGCCTGAAGACGGGACTGAGTTGCTGCGATCTCAGGACAAAACTTTAGCTGTGGAGGAGTTGCTACTTAAGGATGAGGAAAGAAAGTGATTTCTTGAGATGTGGCATCTACTCCTGGTGAAGACGCTGCAAATACTGTTGAAATGACAGCAAAGGATTAGAATATTACATAAACTTAGTTGAGAAAGCAGTGCAGGATTTGAAAGGGCTGACTCCAGCCTGGAATGAAGTTCTACTGCGGGCAAAATGCTATCAAACAGCATCACATGCCACAGAGAAAATGTCTGTCAAAGAAGAATCTATCAGTGCAGCAAACTTCATAGTCTTCTTACTTGAAACTGCTGGGGCGCCTGGGTGGCTCAGTCGGTTAAGCAACCAACTTCAGCTCAGGTCATGATCTCACGGTCCATGGGTTTGAGCCCCATGATGGTCTCTTGCTAACTGCTCAGGGCCTGGAGCCTGCTTGGGGTCCTGTGTCTCCATCTCTGTCTCTGCCCCTCCCCCACTCAAGCTCTGTCTCTCTAAATATAATTAATAAAAGAAACTGCCACAGCCACCCTAACCTTCAGTGGTCACTACCCTGATTAGTCAGCAGCCATCAACATCAAAGCAAGGCCCTCCTCCAGTAAAGAGATTATAACTCACTGAAAGCTCAGAAGATGGTTAGCATTTTTTAGCAATAAAGTATTCTATGTGTACACGTATGTATGTAACCTCTATACCCAATGTGGGGCTCAAACTCATGACTCCAAGATCAAGAGTCATGTGCTCTACTGATTGAGCCAGCCAGGCACCCCAGCAATAAAGTATTTTTTAATATATTTTTAAATGTTTATTTCTTTATTTTGAGAGAGAGAGAGAGAAAGAGAGAGAAAGAGAAAGAAAGCATGCAAGTGGAGGAGGGGCAGAAAAGGAGAGAGAATGCCAAGCAGGCTCCATACTGTCAGTGCAGAGCCCGACATGGGGCTCGAACTCACAAACCACTAGATCATGGCCTGAGCCGAAATCAAGAGTCGGATGCTTAACCGACTAAGCCACCCAGGTGTCTGTAAAATACTTTTAAGTTAAAATGTATACACTGTTCTTTTAGACATAATGTTATTGCACAACTAACAGTCTAGAGTGTAGTGTAAATGTAATTTTTATATGCACTGGGGAATCAAAAAATTCATTTCACTTGCTTACTTATTTTAAGATTTTATTTTACTTTTTAAAATTTTAATTTATTTTTTGAGAGAGAGACAGAGCATGAATGGGGGAGAGGCAGAGAGAGAGGGAGACACAGAATCTGAAGCAGGCTCCAGGCTCTGAGCTGTCAGCATAGAGTCCAATATGGGGCTCAAACTCATGGACCGTGAAACCATGACCTGAGCCAAAGTTGGACACTTAACCAACTGAGCCACTCAGGCACCCCATAAGACTGTATTTTTAAGTAATCTCTATACCCAACGTGGGGCTTGAACTTACGACCCCGAGTTCGAGAGTGACACTCCACTGACTGAGCCAGCCAGGCGCTCCCGACTCACTTTACTGCGGTATTTGCCTTACTATGGTGGCCTGGAGCCAGAGAGCGGAAATCTATTATCTGAGGCATGCCTGTGCCCCACGACTGGTACCAAGGCTCAGAAAGTTGGGGGCCACTCAAGGGAGGAGTATAAGAACACACAGAGAAAGGCAGCTTCAGAAGGAAATGGTCTCTGATCTTTCTATAAGCAAAAGGAATCACTCTCTTCATGGCCAACTGTCACTGAGAAGAGTGTTACATTCTCAAACCAAGAAGTGGGCTCAGGATAGGTGGGGACACTATAGCAAGGCCACACAGAGTTCAGCGGAAGTTCTCAGGAAAATCGGGATGACCCTCAGGGACAAGTCTTTCAGCCGAAGTGGACAGATTCACCCAAGGCCCCTGAGGGTTCCGTATGTGGCTGCAAAGGCTAGTCCCTTCAGAGGCAGACAATCTGGGTGGCTGGACCCCACACTCACCGGATGTACGAGTCTTTCTTGCCACATACTACACACAGGTTCTCTTTCACCATCAAGTAATAGTCTCCTGGAGATTCGGGTCTTCCTGCAGGTTCAAACTGTAGCTTGACCACAAAAGGCTCCTCACTCACCAGCTCTTAGAGACAAGAAAAAAGGTCAGCGTTTGCCTGCCTCTCCCTCAGGACGGGAACTGTTCTCTGCTGTGCCCCTCAGAGGTCACAATTATAACTGGAGAAGTTACAGGTCTAAGGTCATAGCAGGATCAGTGACAAAGCTAGGCTAAGCTCTCCTTATGTTAGTTCTCCACCTGTCTAAAACGTAAAATGTAAAAGAAGGGGGAAAGGAGAAAAATACACAAATAGATCAAAAGCCAGCTCCAAATGTCCCTGAAGGAAAGGAAAAGGAAAGTCACCCCTGGAGCACCTCTACTATCCTACCACACAACCCTCTCCCCACGCGCAAGATGAGACGTCGTGCGTTTTGCCGGAGGCTGGGCCTCTGAGTGTCTAGCAGACAGAAGTCACGATTGAACAACCTCGTCTCACTTGTCTCAAGTTCTTCTGCCTTCTTCTATCCCTCCTTGCCCCTTGTCCCTCTCCCCTCTCCTGCCGGGACCCACATGCACCTAAATGTAGATGACATAGGACAGGTGAGTCTCAAACCTCCAATGCCTTTGTCCAGGTACCACTGAGCTTTCCGTCGGTCACAAGTGCACAGGGGCTGTCCGTCAGGAGCATGGAGGAAGCAGTTATCGTAGAGTGGTGACTTTCTGCAGGGAAGGGAGAGATTAATCTAAAACTGAACGCTAACTATGGGTCAAGGTACCAGGTGCCTTCCCACGCTGTCTTCTGAGTGACCCCAGCTCCTCTCAATACGAGGTTCAAACATCACATTTATGGGAAAAAACAAGTGGGCAAAAAATCATGTTTGCTCCTCCATCTGCATGGGGCTAGGAACTAAAAATGAATTCGTTTAGCTAGTCTTTATATTTACGGACAGGGAGTAAGTTGCGTAGTATTTACACAGCTCTGTTGTGAAAGTGAACAGGAACAAGCACCAAGAAACTGCTCTACAGGGTTACCATTGGGTTGAACAAAGTAAATTAAAATTAAGGAATTTCAAGCTAAAGTAATGAGGGCCACATGGGTTTATTTTTGGCTCATACACAATACTTGCTTCAATTTAATCATCCGATTCCTAAAGGCACTCTGCTACAGGGACCAAGCTTCCACTCCAAAGTACTTATTAGTCCTATTTCTGCAATCGAGGCCTAAGTCGTACAGAGAAACTCTCACTGGTTAGAGAATAATATTGGCTTAGAGCTGGATGCCATTCTAAATAATCAAATACCAAATGAACAGGAAATCAGATGATGCATTTCTCCTGAAATGTATGAGGTAATTCAGGTTACTTATTTTCGCAGCTATCCCGAGCAAGGAAGGAGTAATAATTACACCCTCACTTATAACTGGAGAAGTACCAAGTCTAAGTAAGGTCATACCAGGATCAGTGACAAAGACAGGTTAAGTTCTCCCTATTTCCATTCCAACTGTCTAAAAATTAAAAAGTAAAAGAAGGGGGAAAGGAGGAAAATACACAAATAGATCAAAAGACAGCTCCAAATGTCCTCGAAGGAAAGGAAAAATAAAATTAACCCTTACAGCAACTCTGCTACCCTAGCATACAACCTTGTCTCCAGACCCAAGATGAGGCATCGCGCCTTTTGCTGCAGGTTGGGTCTCTGAGTGTCTAGCAGGCAGGGAACAACTCAGTTACCTGGCCGAGTAGCCCACCCCCAGGGGCTTTCTTTTGTGCTTCCTGGGGTCTCTCCCTTGGTGGTTGCCTGGCATCACTCCATCCATCTTAGACTTCTTATTTTTTGGCTTCTGCTGGGCTTCTGCTGCTTCCCCATTAACTTCTTCCCCCAGGCGGCTAACTCCTTTGCTTCGGAACGGGAGGTCTACCACATTCTGGCATTGCTCCAAGACTTTCCTCCAGCCCGCGGGGCCATCGTTCTCATCTAGAGTTGAATTCCTAGAGAAACGGTATCCAAGAAGATGGAGAAAGAGAGCCACTGAAATCTGGGCATCCCTGGCAGCATAAATTACCTGAAGAGAAAAGTCAGAGATCAGTGGAATCTGGAAGGCAAACCAAAGAAGCAATTTCCAAATTTCCAACTCAATCACAAAAATGCAGACAACTTGTAGGGTTCTAACTCAAGATGTACGATACCCTAAGCACCATGTACGTCTCAACAACCTTTTATTAGGAGACATTTCACACTATACGACAATAAACTGAATAGTATAACAAATCTTCGGGTTTCTTTCCTATCTCTGTGTTTAACCAAAATAGCAAAAATAGTGCCTTACTCTAAACGCTCAAAAATCCTAATCTATATGTAAATCAGTGAAGTTTCTTTCTATCTGCTGCCAAACCTGATGGACAGATTTTTCTCAAGTTTAGGTGAGGATAGTTACCACAAGTCTGACAACTAGTACAAGAAATTCACTTTGGAGGTGGTTATCCTCTAGAACACCTGAAAGCAAGATTCATTAAGAGGCCTGTGCGACTGTCAATCAGAAACAACCTACCATTGTTAATAAGATATGGAAATAAGGAAAACAAATAGGTTTCAAGCATGGGCCTCAAATGAAAAGTCACAAGGGCCCATTTCTGGAATCTATTTATTTAATAATGGTAAGTCATTTTCCCAAGCAACTGGTGACAGGAAGGCTGGTCATAAGTAAAAGTAGTTACATCTATAATCAATAGCTTTTCCCAACAAAGAGAGTAAAGACTTTAAAATTCCTTTACTTTACCTTTAATAACCAAGCCTGATAAATAATACTATTAGGAAGGATTTGTTATGCTTTTAGAATAAACAAGTTTGGATAAAATTTTTCACCTAGACTCAACAATCTACATATCTATCAGCACGCTGTCTCTCAAAGAAACAGAGCTTGAATGTGATGAGCTCAAAGGACTTTTTAACAAACTGTTTTCAAATAAGAAAACCAAAGCACTTTCAACAAATGGTGTTGAGACAACTGGGTGGCCACATGTAAAAGAATAAAGCTGGATCCAAACAAAAATTATAAAGCTAAATATAAGAGCTGAAATCTAAGACTTTTAGAAGAAAACATAGGGGTAAATGTTCATGACCTTGGGTCAGGCAATGATTTCTTGGATATGAGACCAAAAATATAAATGATAAAAGAAAAAACAGATAATTGGACCTCATCAATATTAAAACCTTTTGTGCTTCAAAGGACCCCACCAAGTAAGTGAAGAGATGACCTGAAGAATGGAAGGAAATATTTACACGCTATATATCTAATAAGGGACTAGTCTCCAAAATATACAAAGAACTCTTAAAAGTCAACAATACAAAGACAAACAACTCGATTAAAATATGAGCAAAGGATTTAGATATTTCTATAATATATATTCTATAATGTATAATTTCTATAATATATTTTTAAATGGCCAATAAGCACATGAAACGACGCTCAGCATCATTTGTCACTAGGGAGATGTAAATCAAAGCCACAATGAAACACCATTTCATTCCTACTAGGACGGCTCTAACCAAAAAGACAGACAATAACAAGTGTTGGTGAAAATGCAGAAAATTGGGACCTTCACACATTGCTAGTGAGACTATAAAATGGTGCAGTTGCTTTGTAAAACAGTCTGGCAGTTCCTCAAACAGTGAAACATAAAGTTCATGACCCAGCAATTCCACTTCTAAGTATATACCCAGGAGAAGTAAAAACTTACGACATGTGTCCACACAAGATTTTATACACAAATATTCATAGTGGCATTTTTCATAACAGCCAAAAGCTGAAACCAATGCAAATCTCTACCAACTGATGAATGGATAAACAAAATGTAGTGTATATCCATACAATATTGTTTAGAATAAAAAGAAATGAAGTGCCAATAAACGTTATAACATGTATAAACCACAAAAACATGGTAAGTTAAGCCAATCACAAAAGATCAAATGTTATATGATTCCATTGATATGAAATGTCTCAAACAGACAAATCTATAGAGACAAAAGGTAGATCAGTGGTTGCCTAGTGGTGGGAGGAGGAGCGGGGGTAGGATGGGAAGTGACTGCTAATGGGCATGGAGTTTCTTTTTGGGGTGATAAAAATGTTTTTTAAGTATTTTTTTTAAATGTTTGTTTATTTGGAGAGAGTGCGAGCTGGGGAGGGGCAGAGAGAGAGAGAGAGAGAGGTAGAGAGAGAGAGAATCCCAAGCAGGCTCTGGGTTGTCGGCACAGAACCCAACATGGGTCTCAATCTCACAAACTGTGAGATCATAACCTGAGCCGAAATTGAGATGGAAGCTCAACTGACTGAGCCACTCAGGCACCCCAAAAATGTTATAAAATTAGATTGTGGTGATGGTTATACAACTCTGTAAAAATACTAAAATCCAGTGATTTGTATGTTTTTTTTTTTAAGGTGACTCCATGCCCAATGTGGGGCTTGAACTCACATCTCTGAGATCAGGAGTCACATGCTCTACTGGCTGAGCCAGCCAGGCCCCCAAATATGTACTTTAAATGGCTGAATTTTACTGTATGTTAGTTATACCTTAAAATTGTTAAAAAAAGAAAGGAAGAAAGGAAGGAAGGAACCAAGGCACAAAGAAGTGACTTACTCAGGGTCATAGAAAGTCAGAAACAGCTGCAAAAAACAAATTCAGATAATTTGATTCCCAAAACTCTCAAAAATATCTCAGGGAGGATATTAACCATAAGGGACCAGCTGTGCTAAATCTTTCCAAAAACAACATTTTCGAAGGGTGAACAAGCAGTGACTGACTCGGAAAATAAGAGAAGGCTAAAACCTAGGTCTACAGTAAGCCAAAAATCCAAGAATTAAGCTAATTTGAGCCACAGAGAACTGCAAAGCGTAAGGAATGGGAAGCATCAGGTATCTGTGAAAGTAAGGGTACAAGCAGGGGTGAGAACATGCAAACAAGGTGAAAGTCTCCATAAAGAACACTTAGAACCAGGGACATCTAGGTGGTTCAGTTGGTTAGGTGCCCAATTCTTGATTTCATCTCAGGTCATGAAGTCAAGCCCCAAACTGGGCTCTGCACTGATGGCAAAAGCCCACTTGGGATTCTGCCTCCCCCCCTCTCTCTGCCCCTCCCCTGCTTACTCTCTATCTCTTTCTCAAAATAAATAAAAATAAACTTAAAAGAAAAAAAGAACCCTAGATCTTCTTTATACCACAGGGCTGGCAATTACTCCTCTAACCCTCCAAAGAGTAAAGTTTAAGTCGTATAATGGGCTAACTCACAAAGGACCTGGATCTAGTAATACCAGGTCTGGTACACGGTGGGAGCAAAGTGTCATCTGAAAAAGGGATTATAGTAAAGTCTACATAATGACTGGTAAAACTATCAGCACCTTTCCCCACTCATCTACCAGAATATAAGCAGGGGGACTTATACCCCTTAGGCAGAAGACTAGTTGGTTCATCTCTGGAGAAACTGAGTACCCTGAGAAAAAAGATTTCCAGGTACTGACATATGACTATTAATCTGTAGGTACTGATAATAAAGCCCACTGGCCCAAAAGTACTGGCCATATTTGCTGTGTTCTCCATTTTTTAAAATGCAAATTTAAGGGGCGCCTGGGTGGCTCATTTGGTTAAGCATCTCACTTTGGCTCAGGTCATGATCTCACTGTTCATGGGTTTGAGCACCACATCAGGCTCTGTGCTGACAGCTCAGAGCCTGGAGCCTGCTTCAGATTCTCTGTTTCCCTCTCTCTGCCCACTTATGCTCTCTTTCTCTCTCAAAAATAAATAAACATTAAAAAAATTAAAATTTAAATATGATTTTCTATATTTTCTAAGATCTCATTTAGCATTATGTTCATAATTGGAACAAAAATAAACTTAAAAATAAAGCATGAATAAGAAACTTTGGAAATTCTGAATTCTCACAATAAGGATCACCAACTTGGTTTCAAATTTGATAGCAATTAACTTTTCCTCCTTAACTTTTTAGGTTTAAGATTTTCAAACTCACAGAAAAGTTAAAATAGGGGCGTCTGGGTGGCTCAGTCGGTTGAGAGTCCAACTTCGGCTCAGGTCATGATCTCACAGTTCATGGGTTCAAGCCCCACATTGGTCTCTGTGCTGACAGCTAGCTCAGAGCCTGGAGCCTGTCTTCAAATTCTGTAAATCCCTCTCTCTCTGACCTTCCCCTGATCACGCTGTCTCTATCTCTCTCTCAAAAATAAATAAAAAAAAAAAAATTTAAAAAAATTTTTTAAAAAAGTTACTGCATTAAAAAAAAGAAACGTTAAAATAATAATAATGCCCCCTGACATTCACAATTGTCAACATTTACTTTATCTCTTTATAATATGGACACCACACACTTTTTTTTTTTTTTTTGGCTGAACACATTTCAGCATTAAGTTGCAGCTATTATGGTACTTCCTCTCTAAATACATCAGTGTCTATTTCTTAAGAACAAGAACATTCCTCTACCATAATCACACTATTACCACACCCAAGAACTTTAACAGTGGCAAAAATACAATACCATACAGTTCTAGTCTAATGTCTCCAATTGTTCCAAAAATGTCTTTTACATATGGTGCAAGATTCAGGATTTTTAACAGACGTACAGAATTGTGCGACCATTCGCCATAATCAATGTTAGAACACTTTCATCACCTTAGAAGGAAATCTGATACCCATTAGCAGTAATTCTTCACTTCTCCCAGCCCTGGGCAACCATTAGTTTATTTTCTGTGTCTATAGATTTGTATATTCTGAAACATTTCACAAAAATGGAGTCACGCAAAATGTGATCTTTTGCAAATGGCTCCTTTCCCTTAACATAATGTTTCCAAGACCCATCCCTGTCAGAGTATGTACCGTTTTTAGTACTGAGTAATACTCCATTGTAAGGCTATGCCATATTTTATTTATGCATTCATCAGCTGATGTGCCCAAACAGCTTTTTAATGTGTCCTTAACTATGAATGGACAGCCAAGGATCTAAACATTTAAGAAAAATCTTTTTTTTTTTTTTTTATTTATTTCTAGGAGAGAGAGAGACAGCGTGAGCAGGGGAGGGTCAGAGAGAGAGGGAGTCACAGACTGAAACAGGCTCCAGGCTCTGAGCTGGCAGTCAGCACAGAGCCTGACGCGGGGCTCGAACCCACGAACCACGAGATCATGACCTAAGCGAAAGTCGGACGCTTAACCGACTAAGCCACCCAGGCGCCCCAAGAAAAATCTTTAATGTGAAAGTCAAAGACCAAATCAAACCTTTCAAATAAGGAACTCAGAGGAAAACAAAGCAATACGGGAAACAGAAGAAAACCTCGGAAATCCTTAATATTCTAAGATAATAGTAGATACTATATCCACTAAACAAAAAATAAGTTATTTTAAAAGTGAATATTCAGAGGAGACCAAGAATCTCTTGTCACTTAACATTATGATAGGGATAGTTAAAAATTCAATAGAAATGTCAGAAGGCAAATTTGAGGAAATTTCCCAAGAGATAAAATAAAAAATACAGATAGAAAAATCAGAGAGAAAATCTTTTTCTTAGGAAATCAGCCGATCAATTCAAGGGTCCAATATCCAAATAATATGAGTTCTAGAAACAGAAGGGAGGGATATTTTCAAAGACATATTATGAGAATAATTCCCTGAACTAAAAGACATGAGCTTCCGGGTTGAAAGGGTCCACTGAAATCTAATGCTATAATGAAAAATACCCCACACTAATTTATATCATCATGGATTTTAATAAATAAAGTGAAGATTTTCCAGAAAGAAAAACAAGTGATATACTTAGTATCAATACTGGAAGCTGTAAGACAGGGAACCTTGCCTTTAAATTTCTGAAGGAAAATGATTTTCACCCTGAAAAATACTGTACTCTGCCAAACTATCAGTTAATAGAGGGAAGCCAATATCTTTTCAGACACACGAGGTGTCATATATTAACTTCCCATGTTCCCTTTCTTAATGTACCCCAAGATAAGAAAGGGAAAAGACACGGAATTTGGAAGACAGAGGATCACTGCAGAAGAAAGGTGAAGGGAATCCCCAGGCTGAGGGTAAATGCAGATTCCAGGGTCACAGCAAGGTGGCAGGGCTCCTGAAAGGAGCAGGGTGACAGAGGGCTCTGGAAGGGACAGCTCCAAGGGAAAGCAAGAGAAGTAAGTCACCTCCTGTGTCTGAACCAGTCGAGAAAAGATGGAGGGTTCCGTTAAAGAGTCTGGGGTTGAAAGAGTTAACAGGTATATAGAAAACAAACCAAACAGAAGTACAATTATTACTCCTAGGAAAACAAAAAGTTGTGTAAGGAAAAAACTTAACTGCAGCTTACTATGTGGCTCAGCTATCAATAATGTCAACATGAGTAGATATTAATCTGATGAAAATGATGATCTACCTATATTGGGACGATGGAAAAGGGACTCAGTATTTGTCTGGAGACAGAGGAAATGCAAGAGTACTAAATCACGTCTTGCATGGTAAGAAGTCAAAAGACAGTATAAAAATAAGAAAGAGTAATATATGTACATAATTTAAAAATATAATGGTAATTACCAGAAATAAATGAAATTTGTTGCCACTGAGGGGGAGGAAGACAGGGAACTACTATTTCTTATAATAAGTCTTATAACACTTTGGTTTTCTAATTATGCATTTGTATTCGTCATTTTAAAAATTACATTTTCTGAAATGCTGCCTGCCATATAGTAAATGCTCAAACAAAATAAAACAGAATAGGGACTCTTACTCTGCTATTTAAGTACCATTTATATACTATACAACAGTTATCTTCAATGAGTCTATTTTAAAGTATTTCCACCCAATACTTACATTTGAAGATTATAATTTTAAAAACAACTATACGTCATAAGCAATGGTTCTTCCATTCTGTAACTACTCTGGTAAGAAGTACCTGGTCCTCAGGGCCCCTGGGTGGCTCAGTCGCATAAGTGTCCAGCTCTTGATCTTGGCTCAGGTCATGATCTCACGGTTCGTGAGACTGAGCCCCATGTAGGGCTCTGTGCTGGCAGCTGCTTGGGATTCTTTCTCTCTCTCCCTCTCTCTGCCCCTCCCCTGCTCACTCACTTGTGCTCTCTCTCTCAAAATAAATAAACTAAAAAACTTAAACAAACAAAAAAGAAGTACCTGGTCCTTTGTAAGATTCTCGGCATCCCAGTTGCTGCAGCGAAGCAGAAGGGACTTGTCAAGTGGAAAGTTCAAAACCGTCTCGGCAAGTGATTTCAGGCTGAGCCCATTACAGATCAAATTGTTTCTACAAGGAAATAAGTCATGTATTAAAAACTGGCAAAAGGGGTGCCTGGGTGGCTCAGTCGGTTAAGCGTCCGACTTCGGGCTCAGGTCATGATCTCACGGTTCATGAGTTCGAGCCCTGCGTCAGGCTCTCTGCTGACACCTAGCTCAGAGCCTGGAGCCTGTTTCAGATTCTGTGTCTCCCTCTCTCTCTGACCCTCCCCTGTTCACACACTCTCTCTCTCTCTCTCAGAAATAATTAAAAATATTAAAAAAAAAAAAAGTGGCAAAAGAAGAACAGGCAAATCAAAAAAGGCATATATGGCCAAAAACAGATGGTAGATACTCAATCATACTAGACATCAAACAAAATAAAATAAAAATTATATACTATTTGCTGACCAGATTGCAAAGATTTTTTTAAATAACTGTATCAGGGCGCCTGGGTGGTTCAGTCGGTTAAGCGTCTGACTTCGGATCAGGTCATGATCGCACGGTTCGTGGGTTCGAGCCCCATGTCGGGCTTTGTGCTGACAGCTCAGAGCCTGGAGCCTGCTTCGGATTCTGTGTGTGTGTGTCTCTCTCTCTCTCTCTTCGCCCCTTCCCTGTTCTTTCTCTGTCTCTCAAAAATAAATAAACGTTAAAATTTTTTAAAAATAATAATAAAAATAAAAATAATTATCTACTATTGGTAGAACGTGAAGAATCAGTCTGATCTAAAATTCATGAACTGTCCATTTTTACAATCTTCATGGAAACTGGTTTAACAATAAACAGTTATCAAAATTTTGACCATGAAAGTTCTCTGGTTCCAGAATTCCACTTCTAGGAATTTATCCTAAGAATAAATGTACATAGGGGCGCCTGGGTGGCTTAGTCGGTTAGGCGTCCGACTTTCGCTTAGGTCATGATCTCACGGTTCGTGGGTTCGAGCCCCGCGTCGGGCTCTGTGCTGACTGCCAGCTCGGAGCCTGGAGCCTGTTTCAGTCTGTGACTCCCTCTCTCTCTGACCCTCCCCTGTTCACGCTGTCTCTCTCTCTCCTAGAAATAAATAAAACATTTAAATAAAAAAAAAAAAGAATAAATGTACATAAAATGATCTTCACTGCAGCACTATTTATAGTAGCAAAGAACTGGTAAATGCCCATCAACAAAAGACTGGTTAAATATCTATGCAATTAAATTCCACACAGCTATTAAAAAAAGATTGTAGCAGGGGGCGCCTGGTGGCTCAATTAAGCATCTGACTCTTGATTTCATCTCAGGTCATGATCTCATGGTTCGGGAGTCTGAGCCCCACACTGGGCTCTGTGCTGGCAGCGTGGAGCTTGCTTTAGATCCTCTGTTCCCTATTTCTCAGTCCCTCCTCCACTCACACGCTCTCTCTCAAAAATAAATACAACAAGCCTTAAAAAAAAAAAAAAAAGAATGGAGCACCTGGGTGGCTCAGCTGGTTAAGCATCCAACCTCAGTTCAGGTCATGATCTCACAGTTCCTGGGTTCGAGCCCCACATCGGGCTCTGTGCTGACAGCTCAGAGCCTGGAGCCTGCTTTAGATTCTGTGTCTCCCTCTCTCTCTGCCCCTCCCCCACTCATGCTCTGTCTCTTTTTCTGTCTCCCAAAAATGAATAAACATTAAAAAAAAAAAAAGGATGTCGTTGACATATTAGTTAAGTAAAAAGAGCCTGTGGGAGAAAACACATGATATCGTTCATGTAAATATATACACATACATAACAGATGTGTGTGTGTGATTCCAGGTAAGAGAGGGACAAAGCAGAAAGGGATAACTAGAAAGATATCAATCATATGTTAGGGATTTATGGTGATTATAGACCTTCTTTATACTTTTCTATATTTGAATTGGCTAGTGTTTACATAGTCCCTTTTCAAATTTGAAAAAATGATAATGCTATTTTCATTGAGCAGATGAAGGCACAAAGGTACAAAAAAAAAAAAAAAAAACCCAAATAACCTTTCGGTCATTCAAACACTTTATGATTAAAACAGCTGCAGGGTGGTGGAAAAATTGATTTGTCCAAGGATTGGAGGTTCTTAACAGGAAATAAATGTGAAATTAAGAACACACTGGTCTACACAAGTGGAGGTGACGTCCTGGCCACCAAGCGAGAGACCAGAAGTTTAAGGCAAGAAGTCTGGCGGTGGGGGTGCATGTCACGGATACGACACGCAGGACTCCCTCAGGTACTGGAGGAAACGACATCCTTACAATGATAAAGAAAAGAAAGCCTTTCTCTACAAAAACAAGCAGTAATGGATGGATTTCATTACCCCCAAAAGGCAGCACTGATTAAAAAGCAAAAACAGGTCCAGACATACTCAGGGAAAATACATAATGTCCTTATTCAATCAGTGAAAATTAAGGATTTGGGGGTGACATGAACCTTTCTTTTGTTTTATTAGAAATTTTAAAGTAATAAATACTTATTATTAAAAGTTCAGATAACAGAGAAGCCTAGCAGGTGAAAGGTGAAAGCCCACTGCCCCGTACTTCCTCTCCTCAGGGATGATTACTGTCCACAGTATGCTGTGGCCCCTCCAGACTTTTCCTGTGCACAAATAGACAGATGGTTAGGTGGAGGAGGAGATACTGGTTTTTGAATTTTGTTTTTGTTTTTGCTGTAAACTTGCTCTATTAATGTATCAGAGACTTCCATCCATGATAATAAGTATAAATATACTTATTTCATTCTTTTTAATAACCGTATAATTTTTCAGGCATAGATATTCCACAATTCTTGAGATCATTATCCTCACTGATGGACAGTACTTTGTTTTTAATCTATTTAATTCCATTTAGGTCATTAATCTTTTTTTAAATGTCCTGTTTGGAAAGGTCTCACACTTCTTGAGGATGAATTAAAAACAAGATGCTACCTTGCCATTTCAAAATTTCACTAGGAAAGATTCCCAAATCTTTACATACAACACTTTATATCTTTATAATTCTTGCACATAATGTCAAATTTCCTAAACTATAATATCAAAAACTTTAAACTTACTAACATTTTTAATAAAACAATGATTTTTACATTTTTAGTAAAATTTCATTAGACATCGAAAGGCCTGATAAATACTTCATTCTTATTTCCAGAGAAGTTCATGGTAATATTTAGTTTTGGCCAACTTCTCATCGTGACATGTGACCATTCTGTGCTCAGTCAAACAGAGAATTTGGTGCCCCTCTAATTTCTAAGTATCAGAGAGGACTATATCCCACAGAGATGTGGAAGGACAAACCAGTCGGATGATAGCGCTGAAGATGGCAGTGACGAAGACAATGACAGTGATGGCGGAAATTTACACAACACTGTCTCTGCGTGAAACACTATTTCTGGACTCTTTACACAGTTTTGTTTTTTTTTAATGTTTTATTTATTTCTAGGAGAGAGAGAGACAGCGTGAGCAGGGGAGGGTCAGAGAGAGAGGGAGTCACAGACTCTGAAACAGGCTCCAGGCTCTGAGCTGGCAGTCAGCACAGAGCCCGACGCAGGGCTCGAACCCACGAACCGCGAGATCATGACCTAAGCGAAAGTCGGACGCTTAACTGACTAAGCCACCCAGGCGCCCCTCTTTACACAGTTTAACTCATTTAATTCTTGCACCAGTCCTAGGAGGAGGGAACATAATCATTGCTGCAGAAGAGGGAAGTGAGGAACAGCAAGGCTCAGGAACTTGCCCGAAGCCACGCGGCTGGTAAGTGGCCAGCCCACAGCCCCCTCCAGGGTCAGCTCTTTGCTGCGAGGGGCACCTGGGTGGTTCAGTCAGTTAAGTGTCAGATTTCAGTTCAGGCCATGATCTCTTGGTTTGTGGGTTTGAGCCCCAAGTTGGCCTCTGTACTGTCAGCATGGAGTCTGCTTCAGATCCTGTCTCCCTTTCTCTATCTCTCTCCCTCCCCTGCTTGTATTCTTTCTCTCTCTCTCTCAAAAATAAACATTAAAAAAATTTTAATAACAATTTACTTATGAAAAATTATTTATGTATTCATTTGTTTATTTACCTATTTTTAACATTTATTCATTTTTGAGAGGCAGAAAGAGACAGAGTGTAAGCCAGCGTGGGGCAGAGAGAGGGAGACACAGAATCCAAAGCAGGCTCCAGGCTCTGAGCTGTCAGCACAGAGCCTGATGCAGGGCTCAAACTCAGACTGCGAGATCATGACCTGAGCCAAAGTCGGACGCTTAACTGACTGAGGCACATAGGCGCCCCTATAAAAATTTATTTAAAACAAAGCAAAACAAACAAAACAAAAACCCTCTTAGCTACTATACCCACCACCTGTCACAGCAGAGAGTGACAGTGGGCACCTCTGGGGAGGCAGGGCCCACGGAGGAAGGCTTGGTGAATGGTGGCTTTTGCTGTTACCCTCCAAATACTTCTACAGATTTAAAATTTTTTTTACCGTAAATATTTTAATATATTACTTTAAAAAATTACAAGAGTCTTATTTACATAAGCCAAACTACTAAACTAAACTAAAACTTCCTTTTTTATACTAAAAAATTACGATAAGAAGAGATTTTAATCAGGCCTCTTCTTAGTCTGCCAAATCCTCCAGAGTTTTAATGTCAGTGTCATGTGAGGCAGGGAGAGAGGCTGCTTCACTCCACATTCCTGAAATGAGGACCCGTATACATACATGAGAAGATATTTCCGACTCCCTGACAAACAAGTTAGGGTAGAATTTCTGTACGAATGGAATTCCAAGGGAAAGGGAAATCTCTCTTCCTCCCAATAAAGGATTAGGACGACCACCATTTTTTGGCCTAAAGCAGGGTTTGCAAACTCAAATCCTTACTAGGATGAGCTCAACAGAGGAGGCACATCTAAGGAGTCCAACTGCTTCCCAGGACCTGTTACCATCTAGAACCATTTGACCTCCCATAGTAAAACCATGTGATTTTTCAAAAGAAGTCCAAAATACAGACTTTTACATTAAATCTTCTAGATTTAAATGAAAAGTCCCCAAATATATCATATGGGAAAAAACCAAAATCTACAGTCTTAATTTAGCCAGTGGGCCATCAGCTTACAACATGTAGCTCAGGGTGGCACCTTATCGATGTTTCATCTGAAAAAACCATTCCTGGGTAACTAAAGTCTTCTCAGAAACTGGAATACTTCCTCACAAGTTCGTATGTGTCTCAGAAGCCTCTAGGCTTCTAAAAAATGTCAGTGCTTCATTAGTGTTCTCAGTGATCTGCACACCTTGCTAAAGTATCTGAGATGGAAGCACTAATACAAAGCATACCTCTGCCTCACGGCTAGGTACCGGAGGTCCACACACCCCTTAACAACGAGGCCGTAGTCCTGCAGCAGCTTGCTGGCATCTTCTGAACATCCTACTCCAACTTTTAAAATAGTGCCATCTGCCAAAATGTCCAATAATGTTTTTGGTAGCGTTTTTCCACCACAGATCAGCTTTGGCAAGCGAACCAAGACACAGAAGCCACTGGAGGAGGCCATTTGAAGGAGTGACAGGGGACTGGCTTTGCCTTCCGAATTCACCTGCAACAGAGGAAAACAGGGTCACAGTTCGTGCCCCACCACAGCACCAACTACAACATGAAACTGGCAAAAGAAAGGCTAAGAAGTAATTCCTTAACTCCCCAAAGGAAGCGGCCGGCCAAATTTTGGTTCAAATCGAAGGATGAGCTGATGCTAACAAGCACAAGGGACTTTGTGAAGCAGCAGCCTAAACAACAGTTACTGAGGGCCCAAATGTGGGCCTGAAATGTGAGTAGTCCATAAACGGTGACACAGAGGAGTGGTGTCCGAGTCACGTGAAATATACTGGTTTTAAAAGTCTAGGTGAAAAAAAACTACGTAGAATGCCAAATGATAAACACATCCTATTCATTACCGAGACTCTCCAACGTGCATGTGTTTACCTTATTTACTTACCTTACCTTACCTACTCATTCACCTTATCGTTACTGCCTCAAGATCCAATTTTTGAAAAGAGGTAGGAAACACAGTACCAGAAGTAAGTGGTACCTGCCAATATAATAAATCCTGGTAGCCCAAGGTGCTTTCTCAGCGTTTTATCCTCACAAATGGTGCTAAGAAAAAAAATGTATACTAAGCCTAAGCTACAATCCTTATATCTTAAGAGATGAAAATAACTTTATATTAACTGACCTAGTTTTTTTTTTTTTAATGTTTTATTTATTTCTAGGAGAGAGAGACAGCGTGAGCAAGGGAGGGTCAGAGAGAGAGGGAGTCACAGACTGAAACAGGCTCCAGGCTCCGAGCTGGCAGTCAGCACAGAGCCCGACGCGGGGCTCGAACCCACAAACCGCGAGATCATGATCTAAGCAAAAGTCGGACACTTAACCGACTAAGCCACCCAGGCGCCCCTAACTGACCTAGTTTTAATCTTTTTGAGGTAACAGGTAAGTTGGAGACAAAAGCTGGAAGCTAAGAAGTCATTCCCAGAAAAATTTACACACAAAATTCACATTATTAAAAAGTCCTCTAAAGCTCTTCACTGAACCCAGGTTAAACATCCAATAAATTCCAATCCTTCTCATTTTCCAGGACAGGAAAATTAGGACCTACAGGTGAAGCAGTTTGCCTGAACAAGGAGGGATAATGACAAAGTTAGGACTAGAACCCCAATTCCCAAATTTGGAAGGGGAGTTCTCAACCAAGATTCATTTGTACCCCCTTCCCACACCCCAGGATCATATGACAATGTCTGGAGAAATTTTTGATTGTCATAATTTGGGGGGTGGGTGCACAAGTATCTAACAGGTAGAGGCCAGAATGCTACCAAACATCCTACAATGTATGGGACAGGCTCTCATGACAATGAATCAGCCTAAAATACTCACAGTGGGGAACCCTGCTCTGGGCAATGCAGTTGTCTCACTGCCATGTCTGAGGCCTACGCACTGCACCAGATGCCGCCGTGGATATAAAGTTATGTGAGAGATGGAACCTGCCTTAGGGATTAGAGCCTTATTGGTAGGGTACAATCCACACAAACTACATGGTAAATATCAAAGGAGTGATTCAAAGTATTACAAGTAATCAGAGGTAGGATATTTCGGAGGTGAGGTCACCAAAACCATCGAAAGGAAAGAGTTAAGATCACAGAGCTGCTGTTAAAAACAAAATCCAGAGAGCCCTTATCTTTGACTTCTACTTCACTAAGTAAAACCATGACCCAACTCACAAAATGGTTAGGATTTCCCTTCTCATGCAGTGCTTTACCAGTGAGGGTTATTTCCATATCATCAAGTGAAAGCACGCCAGTTTGATTTCTAATGTGTCTATTTCTTAGGACTTAGCCAAGGTCAAAAAAGACCTACCAGAAACTTGACTACTTGTTCCCGTTCTATAACGATTCATTCAGATGTGGCTAAATTAAATTACCTTTTAATTAGTGAAGAAGTCCCTTCCTCCATATACCAGCTCTCCAAGAAAAAAGCCATACATCTCTTCTTCTAATATTTTGCACGTTAATTTCATATAATATTCACTGCAAATTCCTAAGGCTGGATCTCTGTACATCTTTTCAGTCGTGTTCCATTGTCTAAAATACTTTAAATAAATAATGAGATAGTAAATTGTCTTTTTAATACTGTTTCTGGATTGTGCTTAAGAGCCAATGTATTACATAAAGTTTTTCCACTAGGAATTAAAATGTTTACGATTCCAATAGGTACCCAATTTATATGGAATGTGTAACTGGAAGAATAATGCATTTAGCAGAGTCAATTTGGCTTAAAGAATCAGATATCTAATCTAGTCTTTATTTCTCCTATTTCCCCCTTTTGCTTCCTTGTATCTTTTTGCCTTGACGTCACTTACTATTTATGGGAAAAAATGGAATCCTTGGCTTACCAACATTATGTTTAATAAAACAACAAAAAAGATACATTTAAATTTCATTAGCATTATTTAATCCAGTGTTCTGATTTTTGTTTTTTAGATTAGTCAATTCATAAAATGCCTGTGACACACATAACATATATATATATATGCATTTATACATTATAAACATGTAGTACTATACTAATATGTCACAGACAATATTAAACATACACAAAAGTAAAAAACTTTTAACAAATGATGCCATCAAGCATCAAACTTTGGACAAAATTTCTGTATGGAAATGTTTTCTGTATTCCAGTGATTCACTTAGAGAGCATTGGTTTAAAGAATCTCTTTTCTGAGGGCCAGTGGATAACCCATTTTGGCTTCAGGATTCTTAAAAGTCCAGAGCTAAACAAACTTTTTGGAAAAGCCCACAATTCTTTAAATGACCCCTTGATGGCGGCAGAGAGTAAAGAATTATCTGGGACTGTCTTCTGGGCTTGAACAGATTAATAAGCATTCTTAGTCTGTAGAGTTTATGTTTCAGTTAAATTTAGACCATGGCTTTGAGACGTGAATGAGCTTATCATGTTTAGTGACAGAATAAAGGTTTAATGAGGCCAGCAAGTAACAATAGGATGATTAAAAAAAAAAAATAGGAGGATGCGAAGAGAACAGGAGACAAATCAGAGACGCAGAGAGAGGCCAAAGCATGTAAGTCCCTAAGTACGCTAAGTAATTAAGACACCTCGGTTTACTGAAAGCAACGAAAGGGTTTTAAGCAGAGGACTGACATGATCTGATTTTCATTTTTAAAAGTTCAGTTTGGTTACTCTATGGGGGAGGGGCTGTAGATACACAAGAGTCCAAGCTGGGAGGCCAGTCAGGAGGGTACCACAAAGGTCTACATGAGAGACCCTTGAGGCCTGGGCTAGGGAGGAAGCAGAGGAGAGGCGGAGAAGTAGTCAGATTAACCTACTACTAAGGGTTAATACTAAGGAAAAGGGGGAGTAGACCTCTGGCTGGCTTGAAGCCCAAGCCCAGCCTGTAGAACAATGCTCTTTGGAAAATGACCTTCACTTCATTCAATCTTTGTTGCACCAATTATTTGCATCCATTAAGTGGGCACATCTGTAGCCAGAGACTCTAGAAAAAATCAGGCAGGAGCCAGAAGCCAGAAAGATAAACGTGTCGATAACCACCTTCCCAAGAGAAAGGCATGTTTTAGCTTCTCAAACATGGCAGAAACCTCATGTACAAGTGATTTACACATACTTGTACATTACCACAGGTCATTCAGGCAGATGTGGAAACCCACGCCTCTATCTGGTATCATGGTATGCTATTTCTGCAACCACTTCTCCGAATTTCTACATATGTTGCACGGAAGAAACTCAGCATACCCTAATTGTCTGTGTCTGACTTTCAATCCTATTGTTTTTGTTGGTCAGCCTTTAGTGGGGAGTATGTCTTTCCATCTTAAAGGTAGAGAAGACTAAGGATAATAAAGGTTTGGGAAGAAAACTCAAAAGAGTTCTGTTAGGAACATGGTAAGTTTAAGATGGCTATCAGCCATTGAAGGGAAGACATCAAGCAGACAGGTGGATATAAAAGGCTAGAGTTGTAATTTTTTTTAAATATTTTTATTTATTTCTAGGAGAGAGAGAGAGAGAGACAGCATGAGCAGGAGACGGTCAGAGAGAGAGGGAGACACAGACTCTGAAATAGGCTCCAGACCCTGAGCTGGCAGTCAGCACAGAGCCCCACGCGGTGCTCGAACCCACGAACTGCGAGATCATGACCTAAGCAAAAGTCGGACGCTTAACCGACTAAGCCACCAGGCGCCCCTAGAGTTGTAATTTTAAGAGCCATCGCATATCAATGGTATTTAAAGCTGTAAAGTAGAGGAGATCACTGAAGAAAAGAATGTGGATTGGAGGACATAAATTTGTGGTCCATGGACACATCTGCTGATCCACAGACATGTTTAATATTATCATTATTTTGGTTTCCATTATTTTGGTTTCCATTTATTTAAAAACTTGTACCAAAATTTAAAAATTAGTCAAGTTCACACTTTTAAAAAATCTATTAGAAAAAACTCCTTAAAGCTTTAACTGGATAATCTGGCAACACTTGGCTTGAACTATACAGCAGCTTCCTCATTTATATATACCGTGAATTCTTTAATTCACTATAATATCTTCTCAATACTGAAGCCACTGTCATTTTCCATTTGCCATTGTTTGTATAACCACTGTTTTTCTAATAAATAGAAATATTTCTTGGGATCCATGTCTTTATTAAAACTAGGACAATAAAAGATAGATCACAAAGGCCCTATGTTTAAAGAAAAAAGGGAGGAAGCATATTTCTTTTAAAAATGCAAATATTCAAAAATGCAAACAATCACTCCACATCATTCATTTATATTTCCTGTCTGGACTTTGTAGGCATGTGAGTTTGCAGTCCCTGGGGTGGACAGAGAAGAGACTAAGCCTAAACCACCTCAAGATTTAGAAGTGAGAAAAAAGGGAGATCAGAATGACAGGAAACAGAAGAGTGTGAAGGCATGAAAGCCAAGAACAACATCTTATGCAGGAACTGTGCAGGTGTTTTTGACAGCTGGAATAACACTGGATTATTAAATAAGTGTCCACTGGATTAGAAAACAAAAAAGGGCATCACCTTGATCAGTTTCCGTGGCACAGTATAGTAGGAAGTCAATTAGTTTGAAGAATAAATGGAGAACAGCAAACTATACCCAAGCGAGTAGAAGAAAAAAATGAGAGAAAAAGCAAAAATCAATGAAATAAAACATTCATTTTTTATGAATGATCAACAAAGTGAGAAGTTGCTTCTTCAAAAAGACTAATTGAATTGATAAGCCCATAGGAGTAATCAAGAAAAAAGAGGGAGGCATAAATAAATGATGTCAAGAAGGACATCTTTCAGATTGGGGAAAACAACCTGAAGATATTATAAATATGTTTATGCCCATAATTTTAAAATTTGAAAGCAGATTTAGATGAAAAATATAATCTATCAAAACAGACGTGAAGATGGGGCACCTGGCTGGTTCACCTGGAAAAGCATGCCACTCTGGATCTCAGGGTTGTGAGTTCAAGCCCCATGTTGGGTGTGGAGATTACTTAGTTATAAATAAATAATTTTTTTAAACATATGAAGAAATAGGAAATCTGAAGATCCCCAAAACTATCAAAAAATTATATCCATATTTCAAAAACTTCCCTTAAAAAAATAACTGCAGATTCACCAGTAGATTCTAATCAAATATTTAAGTAAAAAAGAATGACAATCTTTATTTTTTCTTCTTCTTTTTTTTTTTTTTTTGAGAGAGAGAAAAAGAGCATGTGTGCAAGCAGGGGAAAGGGAAAGGGAGAGAGAATCTTAAGCAGGGTCCACGCTCAGCATAGAGCCCAATGAAGGGTTCAATCTCACCACCGTGAGATCACAAACTGAGCCAAAATTGAGTTGGACGTGTAACTGACTGAGCCACGCAAGTGCCCCAAAAAGAATGACAATCTTATAGAAATTCTTCTAGAGGACAGAAAAATAAGGAAAGCCTTAATTTGTTTGAGGCCAATATAACTTTAAAAAATTTTTTAATATATATTTATTTTTGAGAGAAAGAGAGAGCCAGCATGAGTGGGGAAGGGGCAGAGAGAAGGAGACACAGAATCCGAAGCAGGCTCCAGGCTCTGAGTGTCAGCACAGAGCCCAGTGTGGGACTCAAACTCATGAACTGTGATATCATGACTTGAGCTGAAGTGGGACATTTAACCAACTGAGCCACACGGGCGCCCCTGAGGTCAATATAATTTTTAATCAAAATCGAACAGGGTCATTTCCAAAAAAGAAAAGTATAAGCCAATATCAGTCATGACCAAGTTTTAAAAAAATCCCCTGAAACGCATTAGCAAAATGAATTCAGCAATGTATAAAAAGAAAAAGACATCATGACCAAGTTGGATTTACTCCAGAAATTAAAACATCAATGTATTTCACCACAACAACAGAATAAAGGAGAAAAACTACATAGTCATCTCAAGAAATGCAGAAAAAGGACTTGATAAAATTCAACATCTAATCATAATTAAAAAAACACAACTCCTAACAAACCATTAATAGAATTCAATGTATTTAATCTGGTAAAGGGATCTACAAACACATGCCGGCATAGTCGAATACAGCACATAACATATTCAATATGAAATGTTGAAAGCTGTCATTTTTTACAATTTTTATTCATTCTTTTAATTTTTTTAATGTTTATTTATTTTTGAGATAGAGCAAGCACAGAGGAGGGGCAGAGAGAGAGGGGGACAGAGGATTTGAAGCGAGTTCTGTGCAGACAACAGCGAGCCTGATGTGGGGCTCGACCTCACAAACTGTGAGATCATGCTTTGAGCTGAAATCAGACGCTTAACCAACTGAGCCACCCAGGCACCTCTGAAAGCTGTCATTTTGAGATAGGGAATGAGTCAGAGATGCCTACTGTCACCACTTCTACTGGACATAACACCATGATCCTAGTAAAGCAAGAAAAGAAACAAAAAATGTAAGGACTGGAAAGAAATAAATTGTCATTTCTCAAATGATGTAAGAGCGTACACAGAAATCCAAAAGAATCTACAAGTAATTCGAATTAATGAGTTTGGTAAGGGTCCTTAATATAAGATAAATATATAAAAATCAACTGCATTTCCATATACCAGAAACACAAAAAATTTTTAAAGATTTCACTTGTAACAGAATTTTCAAAATCACAGAAAACTATATTTTTAAGAGAAATTAAAGATCTAAATGAACTTTCTTAGATTAGAAAACTCAATATTCTAAGAAGTTAATTCCTCATAATCGATCTACTGATGCAGTACAATCTCAATCAAAATATCAAGAATTTTTTTTGTTAGAATCTGAAAAGCAGGTACTAAAATGTATAAGGAAATACGAAGAACTAAGACTAAGACGTTCTGGAAAAAGAACAAGATGGCAAGTATTGCTGTTCTAGATAACAGGAGTTGTGATAAACAACAGTAACCAAGATAGTTTGTGATTACTGATGTAAGAATAGAAAAATAGGCTATTTGAGGGGCGCCTGGGTGGCTCAGTCGGTTGGGCAGCTGACTTCGACTCAGGTCATGATCTCGCAGCTTGTGGGTTCGAGCCCCGTGTTGGGCTCTGTGCTGACAGCTAGCTCAGGGCCTGAAGCCTATTTCAGATTCTGTGTCTCCCTCTCTCTCTGATCCTCCCCTACTCACTTTGTCTCTCTCTCTCAGAAATAAATTAAAAAAAAAAAAATAGGCTATTTGAGAGCCCAGAAGCAGATCTATTCATACAGATAATAGGTATTGTGGTAAAGGGGCACAGCTGAGCAGTGAGGAAAGGTTTATCTCTTCAATTTATGGTACTAGGACCAGTGTATATCCATATGAGGAAAAAATAAAACTTGATTCTACCTCACAGCCCCACTCACACAACGAATTTCAGGTGAACTGTAAATGTGCAAGATTAAAACCATAAAACTCCAAGATAATAATATAGGAGGATATCTTTATGACCAGGAGAACGATAAGACTTCTTAAAACTGTACCATACAGATCTTCTGATCATCAAAAGATAACATCAAAAAGAATGTAAAGGCTGGGTGCTTGGCTGGCTCAGCGGTTAGAGGCTGTAACTCTTGATCACGGGGTCATGAGTTTGAGGTCCATGCTGGGTGTGGAGATTACTTAAAAATACATTCTTAAGGGGTGCCTGGATGGCTCAATCAGTTAAGTGCCCAGCTTTGGCTCAGGTCATGATCTCAACTCAAGGTTTGTGAGTTTGAACCCCACAATGGGCTCCCTGCAGTCAGCACAGAACCCACTTCAGATACCCTGTCCCACCCTCTCTCTACCCCTCCCCTGCTACCACTCTCTATCACAAAACTAAAACTTAAAAAAAATTTTTTTGAATACAATCTTAAAAAAATAATGTAAAAGCAATTTACAGAATGGGAGAAAACATTTAAGGTATACATTTAACTCACAAAGGATTCATACCCAGAATATAAAAAGAACTCCTATAAATCAGTAAGAAAAAGACAAATAAAAAAAAAGGGGGTAAGAGACTTGAACAGATACTCCATAAAAGAAGATATCTAAATGATCAATAAAGTATAAAATGATGCTCAATCAAAAAATAAAATAAATAAAATGAATACTTTATAGTACAGCAAAGGAAATTATCAACAAAACTAAAAGGCAAAAGGTATTTGCAAATGACATACCTGATAAAGGGTAGATTCTAAAATATATCAAGAACTTATAAACTTGGCACCCAAAACACAAATAATCCAATTTTAAAATGGGCAGAAGACATGAACAGACATTTTTTCCAAAGGACATATACAGCTGGCCAACAAACACATGAAAAGATGATCAACATCACTCATCATTAGGAAAATGCAAATCAGGGGCGCCTGGGTGGTTCAGTCAGTTAGCGACCGACTTCAGCTCAGGTCATGATCTCGCAGTCTGAGTTTGAGCCCCGCGTCAGGCTCTGTGCTGACAGCTCAGAGCCTGGAGCCTGCTTCGGATTCTGTGTCTCCCTCTCTCTGCCCCTCCTCTGCTCACCTCTCTCTCTCTCTCTCTCTCTCTCTCTCTATCTCTCTCAAAATCAAATAAACATTAAAAAAAATTTTTTTTTAAAAAGGAAAATGCAAATCAAAACTATAATGAGATACCGTCTCACACCTGTCAGAATGCTAAATCAACAACATAAGAAACAACAGATATTGGCTTGAGATGTGGAGAAAAGGGAACCCTCTTGCATTGTGGATGGGAATGCAAACCAGTACAGCTGCTCTGGTAACAGTATGGAGGTCCTCAAACAGTTAAAAATAGAGATACCTTGGGGTGCCTGGGTGGCTCAGTGGGTTAAGCGTCCGACTTCAGCTCAGGTCATGATCTCACAGTTCGTGGGTTCAAGCCCCGCATCGAGCTCTGTGCTGACAGTTCAAAGCGCGGAGCCTGCTTCAGATTCTGTATCTCCCTCTCTCTCTGACCCTCCCCTGCTCACGCTGTCTCTCTCAGAAGTAAATTTAAAAAAAATTTAGGATGTGGCTGGGGCTTCGCCGGCCTCACTATGTCTGCCATTTTCAATTTTCAGAGTCTGTTGACTGTAATCTTGCTGCTTATATGTACCTGTGCTTATATCCGATCCTTGGCACCCAGCCTCCTGGACAGAAATAAAACTGGATTGTTGGGTATATTTTGGAAGTGCGCCAGAATTGGTGAATGGAAGAGTCCTTACGTTGCAGTATGCTGTATAGTGATGGCCTTCAGCATTCTCTTCATACAGTAGCTTGGGAAAATATCAATTTAATTGCCATCAGATTTCAATATGGAAAAAGGACTTATCTACAGAAAATAATGGAATGAATGGTTAACCCTTTTATCTCTGAACATTGAATGAGATAAATTTGCAGCTGCTGTTCTCTATTTTTGTTATTGGACCAATGTTCTATATAAATAGGATGTAACCATTGAATACTCAGAGTTTAATATGTCTGTAACAATCAATCTCAGTACTGTCACTGCGATATTACATTCTGCAAATATTATTCTGTTATGTCAGATACCAATTTTTAGTGAGGTGTCTCTAAGACACAGAATAGAAAACAAAATTGTTAAATTACTCCACTTCATTTCACTGTGATTTGGAAATGATAAATCTTTATAGAATCAGACATTTTTCTGGGCTAGCTTTTTTTATTGAGAAAAAAAAGGTTCAATTTGTGTTGATAAGGATTGCATTCATATTTAATAATGCTTGCTTTTCCTCTGGCCACACCAGAGCATTAACAGAGTACCTCTAAGCAAAGTCTGTAGTGTGCTACATGTGTTTCAGCTATTTAAAACAAGCCTGTGCACTTCTTAAGGAAGAAGGCAAGTGAGATGTGACTTAAGAACAATATTGGGAAAATGACCATATTTAACATAAAAGTTTAGGATAGCTGACTAGTCCGGTAGCCTCTGAAATAAGTATGGATAAATATCTTATGAATAAATTGACTGCTCTCATTTTCTGAATTAAGACTACATTCTTAGAGTGAAAAGAGCAAAATAGAACAATTCAGAAAGATAAGCCTGTATGTGTCTTTCATTCTTTTTAAGTGTCAGGTCTCCAATTTTAATTGCCCCAAAATGCAAACTGTATCATTTTGTTTGTTTTTAAATACAGCACTTTAAATCTAGTTTACTTTTTGTTGTCAACTTGAACTGGAACCTACTATGTAATTCAGTAGGTGATGGTAAACAGTTTTCAAATCTCCTTATCTGTGTACCTTGGCATAAGTGTCTTTGAATTTTGATAATAAAGACCTTCAATCGCCTTCATCAAAAAAAAAAAGAAAATTTAAAAATAAATAAATAAATAAAAATAAAAATAGAGCTACCCTATAATCCAGCAATTGCAGTATCCAAGGAATTAAAAATACTAATTCAAAGGGATATATGCACCCCGATGTTTACAGCAGCATTATCTACAACAGCCAAATTATGCAAACAGCCCATGTCTATCAACTGATGAGTGGAAAAAGAAGATGTGGGGGTGCCTGGGTGGCACAGTCGGTTAAGTGTCAGACTCCTGATTTTGGCTCAGGTCATGATCTCACAGTTTGTAGGATGGAGCCCCATGTTGGGCTCTGTGCTAACAGCACAGGGCCTGCTTGAGATTCTTTCTCTCCCTCTCTCTCTGCTCCTCTCTGACTTGCGTGCACACACACACTCTCTAAAAATAAACAGACATTAAAAAATGGTTTAGTAAAAAAAATAATCGGACAGTACCAAATAAATAAAAATAAAAACCTGACAGTACCAAAACAATAAACAAAAATAAAAAATAAATAAAAATCTGCCAGTACCAACTGATGCGATACAGACAAAGACAGTCTTTGTGGGAGGTTACATCAGCGTAACCACTTCTGAAAACAACTGGAACAATGGCTACACTTGTGCAATACTGATTGGAGGGTATACTAGTTAAAACCACCTTGGCAAACAGTTTGGCATTACCCATATAAGTTAAACATACACACAATTCTATATTCCAGGACTCCACTCCTAGATACATATGCCTAATAAGAATGAGTCCATAAATTCACTGCAACATTGCTTGTAAGAGCTCCAAACCACAAACTCAAATGTCCATCAATATTAGAATGGATGAAATGAATCATGATATATTTATATGAGGGATTACTATATGGCAAAGAATTACAGTCACACACACCATAGATAAATCTCACAATGTTGGAGCAAAAGAAGTCAGACACAAAAGAATACATAGTTGACAGTTTCACATTTATTAAATTTAAAAAGCAGGCAAATCTAAGTTACAGTGCTTAGGGATGCATGCATAACTAGTAAAAGTATAAAGAAAAACAAGAACGTAAATACTATGAAATCAGGGTAATGATAACTGTTGGCGGACAACGATTATAAGGGGTCAGAAGGGGAGCTTCTGGGGTACTAGCAATCCTCTATTTCCTGACCTAGTTTCTAGTTACACAGCTGTTCTCTTTAGATAAATCATTTAGCTATTTTCGTTTCAGGCACTTTTCTTGATGTGTTTTATTTCACAATAAAAAGGTTAAAAAAAAGACTTCAGGGGCAAGTAAAACAGATTAGACAAAACTAAATAAAGAAAAAGGGGACTGTAAAAGAGACCTAAAGAAACCATGCAGAATAAATCCATGGAGACTATGATATGTTAAATATAAAAGAGATTACCAGATATGTAGGATAGTATAAAAGTTGAGAATGTAGCTGATCAAATTACAGCAATAAAGAAGGAAGAGGAGGGAGAAGATGAGAAAGAAAAGGCGGGGTGGGGAGAGAAGAAGAACAAACAGTAAAGACAACTGTCAAAGGGAATTCAAAAACTGATAGAAGAGGGGCGCCTGGATGGCTCAGTTGGTTGAGTGTCTGACTCTCAATTTCAGCTCAAGTCATGATCTCACCGTTCGTGGGTTCAAACCCCGCGTCAGGCTCTACCCTGATGGCATGAAGCCTGCTTGGGATCCTTTCTCTCCCTCTCTTTCTGCTCCTCCCCCACTCACACATTCTCTTTCTCAAAGATAAATAAGCTTTAAAAAAGAAAATGCAATGATTTGTTTAAGATAATAACAATAATGAAATAAAAATTGGTAGAAGATACCAATCCTCATTTCCACCTATCTCTCAGAATCCCATATTGGAAACATAGAAAGAACACTTAGCCTCCTCATACTGAATCTTCAGAACCATAAACTCAAAGTGGAGATAATAAAAGGAGCTACAGAAAGTTAGATTACCTATAAAGAATCAACACTTAGACCGAGAGTTATTTTAAACAGCAACAACAGAAGCCAGGTGACAAGAGAATACTGTCTTGAAAATGATGATAAATTGCCAAGCTAGAATTTTGTATCTAGCGAAAATATCTTTCTTTCAAATTAAAAGCAAAATAAAGACACTTTCAAAACAAGACAAAGACAATTAATTTAATGAGCCTTGAAGAAATAAACTTCTAAAGAATGACCTTAAAGAAAATGATCCTAAAAAGAAGGTCTGAGATACAAGAAAAAAATGAGCAAAGAAAAAGGTAAACATTTTAGTAAATCACTGTATTAGACAAGAACAAAAATAATAACTAAACAAGCACACAAAAGTGACTAAACGAGAAATGGAGGGGCGCCTGAGTAGCCAGTAGGTTAAGCGTCCAACTTCGGCTCAGGTTGTGATCTCACAGTTGGGGAGTTTGAGCCCCGCGTGGGGCTCTATGCTGACAGCTCACAACCTGGAACCTGCTTCAGATTCTGTGTCTCCCTCTCTCTCTGCCCCTCCCCTGCTCACGCTCTGTCTCTCAAAAATAAGTAATCATTAAAAACTTTAAAAAAGAGAGAGAAAGGAAAATACAAATGGAAGAATGGAGAGACCAAGAAATAAATAGTTTTCTTCATAAAGCTTTTCTGTGGCAACAAACAGGGAAACGTAATCACACCTGAAGATGTGGCATCCAGCATGACTTCATACTTATCCAAAGCCAAAATGAAGTGGGTTTTGGATTATTTGCCACTTCAGCTTGTCCACATCTCTGCTACAGTAATTAAACATTATTCTTAAATCAACTGCTATTACTAACCACTCACTTCGGGCTACCCCGCTGAAGCAGTTATACTTCACTTAGTTAGAAAATCAAGGTGTTTGGCAAAACTGAATGTTCCTAATCTACCAAAGCTCACTGTTTAGTGATGTGTTCTTCTACTATTGTTGGACTAAATATTCCTAAAATGATATAATTTCTTATACAGAATAGACCAGAAGTGTCCCTCCTGTCCTGCTGGCCCATGCTCACGGGTAGAAACAACTATTACTGCTGACAGGATGAAATACCTTGAGCAGGTGTCAGGCCTTGTGTGAGGACTAAACCTTTCCCACACTGTCAAGTGTTCTCGTGGTCATCCCTGGCATCTGGCAGACCCTCTACCATTCTGTGACCCGATTTTGTGGCAGCCATTCTCCTTAGGGCCTCTTCTGATTATATTTTCCTGGCCCTGGGCCATACTCTACGTATCTCAGATAAGACAAATATCAACAAGAAATGATAACTACGATTTATTTATAGTTTTGTAACATCTTCTGTTTCATGGAGATTAAAGTTCACTCTGTGAATCAGAAGGAGGGAGGAAGAAATGTACCCTCTGATCCTCATTACAACTAAGTAAAAACTCTCCCCAAAGAAGAACTATTAGAAAAACTAACCAGATGGTTAGGAAAGCCCTGGGCTCAGACAGCGGTTACCTTTTTGAGCCTCTTTCCTCCTATCTGTAAAGTGAAGGTAACAACAGGATCTCCTACACAGGATTTACTGTGGAAATGAAATGAGATGCTGCAAACAAACAGCAAAGTACTGGCCGAGAGCAAACAGGATATCAAATTTTAATGTTATCTCTTGAAATGCTACCTTGTGTAGTAACTCCCATTTAAATAGACCTCCTTAACTAACTTCTCCATGGCATCCTTACGAAAATACTATTAAAAATATTAATAGTAGCTAATATTGAATGAGCATTTACTATATGTGAAAATCATGCCGCACCTTTTACAGGGCTTGTCAATCTGAATCCTTTGAAAGACTCTGGGAGGAAGCTACCATTGCATCCCTATGACAAACATAGGGATGTTTGTTCATGAGCCTCTGAGAAGGTAAGTAGCTTGTCCGAGGTCACAGGATAAAGAAGTGGTCAAAATGGGACTCGTACAGGTCTGTCTCACTCCAGACCCCACGATTATAAGCATTCTCCTCTCCTGACAAGAGAAGCAGCTTCTCCTTCTGCTAAATTCTATTTATGAGCTAGTTGAGAACAAGCGAATTCTCCTTTAATCTTATCCTCGACTTGACTATTCAAGGTCCCTAGTTAGAAAAGCAGACAAGATTTGCATGGTTTATTTTTGCTTTTTAACTTACCCACTCACAGTCGATTCCAAGTACTGGGAAATCTTCTAGCTCGCTCCTAAGCAAGGGCTCGATGTGGTCCCACTCTGCCTCCTGAGACACAGTCACCACCTTGGCTTCGAGGATCTTCTCCTTCCAGGAGGCTCCGGGGGCACCGGAGCGCAGCTGGTCGTCTGCTGGGGGGGGCTGCTCCCTCCTGCCCGGGGCTTGCTGCTGCCGCCACTGCTGCCAGGGGTCAAGGCTCGCTTTGCTTCTCCGGCGCCGGATGCCTTTCCACAGGACAAACCCCCCCACGGCCACACCGACGAGGGTGGTCACTGTCAAAGCCGTTAAGTATCTAGACATCTTCAGCTTTTTTGCGGTTTAGGAAAGCATAACAGTAATTCCACAATCTGTAAAACAAATGGCAATGATATATGTATATGCAGAATTTAAACCTGCATGGAAACTTGTTTTCCCCAAAAAAGTGCTCCACTTATAATCCATGGGTCCACAAACTAAAAAAAAGAAAAAAAAGGACTACAAATTCCCACATGGAAAAAGTGATATTTAACTTTTTCGTTTTGGTACTTTCTCTATCTTCATTCTCAGCCAAGAACTCGCCCCTGCGTTCTACCAGCTGCCCAGAGCTCACTTAATCATGGATTAACAGGGCGTTGGAACATGTACATACTTGTATAGAATTTGAAAAATCGAAAGAAATTATAATCCTTCTACCCTTAGGCAACCAGTTATCAGTTTGATGTTCAATTATTTTATACAATTTAAAAAATAATAAGAATGGCAGATCGTTTCAGTCAGGAAAACTCCATGTTAACAGTCTCTTCCATCTCTCCTATAACACAGGGTTTTCTCCATCTACCTTTTGCTTTCCTATTTTTGACAGAGAAATGGATATACACTACTATTTCTGTACTACTTACATAACGACAGTAAATGTGTAACAATAAATGGTAAGTGGCTGTTAGCCTCAGTCACGCAGAGCAATCGGGGGACAGACCCCATTTGGCACAAAGTAATTGATTCCATGTGGGAAGCAGACCCAGTGTAGTGACATAACTCCGTTATTCAAAAGAAGTCAGGTATATAAATTTTAGGTGAAATGTCACTATTTTTAAGTGTCAGCAACAAATTCACTGTGTGAACCAAACAAAAACATTCTGGGCCCCATGGACTCTGTGGACTCTGGCCTAAAATCTGTACTGCCCAGAGACACACTGACCTGCTGGACACTGCCTACACTTCTCTATGGCTGAGAGTTTCCCACTGAATTTGTACTATTTTTATCATTTTTCAAAGCTTCAATAATAATTTTTTTACGTTTATTTATTTTGGCAGGAGAGGGGCAAAGAGAGAGGGACAGAGAGAGAATCCCAAGCAGGCTCTGTGCTGTCAGCACAGAGCCCAAAGTGGGGCTCGAACTCACAAACCCCGAGATCATATCAAGATCAAGAGTTTGATGCCTAGGGGTGCCTGGGTGGGTCAGTCGATTAAGCATCCGACTTCAGCTCAGGTCATGATTTCACAGATCGTGGGTTCGAGCCCCGCGTCGGGTTCTGTGCAGACAGCTCAGAGCCTGGGGCCTGCTTCAGATTCTGTGTCTCCATCTCTCTCTGCAACCCCTGCTCATGCTGTCTGTCTCTCTCTCTCTCTCAGAAATAAATAAAACATTAAAAAAAAATAAAAAGAGTTGGATGCCTAACCAACTGAACCACCCAGGCGACCCAATAACAATTATTTTTTAATAATTTGATATTTACAACAACCCTGGGCTACAATCATGTAGGCATGGATTAATGGGGCGGATAAAAAATGAAATTACACAATTATTACACTGCTAGTGAAAATAATAAAATAGCTGTCTTATTTTTAACATACTTTATTGCAGAAGTACTAAGTGCTAAGTACTCATGTATTCTCTTCAGGACTTTTACTGAAGGCTTAATGAGATTAAAGAATTTGCACAAATTTCTCATTAAAATAATCTGAGAAGATGTTTTAAAAAACCCTTCCCTTTCCCACTTGAAACAATACAAAATTCTGGAGAAAACATCAAAAGGATAAAATTTTAATACAGAGTTAAACTCAAAAAGAAGAAGGAAAGCCATCAGCTGCCAGTAATGGAAACAGGGAGCCCACAGTGGGTGGGAGATACGGGGAGGGGGACAGCCCCAGGCCTGGGCTCTATCGTCACTCCCTGGCCAGAAGTCTAGGCCACAGGCCCAGGGCACAGCTGGGATCTGGGAAGCGCTGCCTCGTCCATGAACAGGAAACTGAACGGGTTCACCTACCATGGTCCAGGCCAGCCACCTGCCCAAGGCTGAGAGTATGAACAGAGCTCCTCATGAGAAGGCAGACTTTCACACCTATGCTGCGAAGCAGTATAGCACCCAAATTCACATTATCCTCACAAAACAAAACTCTTAAGTTTTAAAGAAACTAAAACTAAGGGGTGTCTGGGTGCGTCAGCCAGTTAAGTGTCCACCTTTGGCTGAGGTCATGATCTCATGGTTTGTGAGTTCAAGTCCCGCATCGGGCTCTGTGCTGACAGCTCAGGGCCTGGAGCCCGATTTGGATTCTGTGTCTCCCTCTCTGCCCATCTCTCACTCACCCTCTGTCTGTCTCCGTCTCTACCAAAAATAAACATTAAAAAAATTGAAAAACAAAAAAACGAAAATGTGTTTATGTGAGTGTATGTGAGTGTACTTTAACAGACCAGCAGTCCCTAGAAAAGCACTCACAAATGAATCAAAACAAAACAAAAATTAAAAAAAAAAAACCCAAAACCCTAAAGCCAATAAAAATATTTCACAGAAGAATCAAACAAAAATATCCATACCTGAAATCTGAAAAAGGAACTTTAATGACACTCAGCGAAATTAGGAAAATAAAATCTAAAACATGAACAGGAGATGACAAAAAGTAGAAATTCTAGATATGAAAAATATTTGCTAAAATTGTTTAAAAGTTCAATATTCAACAGACAGGTTAAATAGTAGATCAGACAGAGAAAGTTAGTAAATTGAAGATAAATCTGAGGAACTCACCCAGAATGTAGCGCAGAGAGAAAGATGTAGAAAACACAGCAGAGAGAGGGAGGACAGACTAAGAATCTCAACATCCACGTAATGAAGAGTTGGAAGATGGAAGTCATCAGATTTAGTATAGTCCTCTGAGTTCCAAGCTGGATAAATTAAATCTATCCACAGAAAGACTTATATAAGTACACTCATAACAGCTTTATTCATAATAGCCAAACCCTAGAAAAAGTCCACTTGGTACACACACACGATGGACTACTACCTGGCAATAACAAAAATAAATGAATTACTGATACATGCATCAATTCTCAAATAACATTAGGCTGAGTGAAAGAAGCCAGATACAAAAGAGATACTGTATGGTTCTATTTATATAAAGTTCCAGAACAACTACAATTAATCTATGGTAGAAAAAGATCTGAACACTAGCTGCCTCTGGGGGGTAGGGTGAGTTACAGGGAAGAGACATTTAAGCTGAGCACTGGGTATCAAAAAAAGAGCCAGTCATGAAAAATTCTAGGGAAGAGCATTTCAGGCAAGAGGGAACTATCTAGAATTGTGTGACATTCCATGTCTTGATGGGAGCTTGGATTACCCAGGTGTACACATTTGCCAAAATTCAGTGATGTTTCTGATTTTTTCCTGTTGGCCTGCCTGATGAATAACTATTGATTTATTTATTGTCTTTCTCACCAGATTGTAAACCCCATGAAAACAGGGACCTTATCTGGTTTCTTCAATACTATATTTGGATATATCTATATCTATATCTATATCTATGTCTATGTCTATATCTATACCTGTATCTATGTCTATATTTATATCTATCTATATCTATATTCAGCAACTGCCACAGAGCTGATAACAATATTCATCAAATGAATAAAACTCAATTCAAGGTATTGTATTTTATGATAAATGTCTCTATTTCAATTATCATATTACAAAAATCTGTTTATTCCAGTGAAGAAAGTATTCTTCCCCTTACTGAGTTAGCCTCGATGCTATAGAGAAGCATTGTGGTTCAATATTGGGCTAGAAGTGAGAAAACTCAAATCTTGTGTTAGACACTGAATGTTTGTGCCCCTCTAAAACTCGTATGTTGAAACTCCATGCCTTATGGTGAGGTATTAGGAGGTGGAGCCTCTGGAAGCTGATGAGAATGAGGTGAGGTCATGAGGGTGGAGGCCCCATAGATGGGATTAGCGCCCTTTGGAAAGCTTGCTTCTCTCCGATCTCAGCCACGTGCCAAGTGGAGAGTCTGCCTTGTGGAGGGGGGCTCTTAACAGGACCGACCAGGCCACCACCCTGATCCTGGACTTCCAGGCTCCAGAACTGTGCGAAATAAATTTCTGTTTTTTATAACCCACCCAGTCTGTGGTGCTCTATTTTTGCAGCCCAAACAGACTGAGATGCCTCTCGAAGGGCATGCTCTGGTGTCCAAAGTCTTCAGCGCCTCAACATTGACCCTTACTGAAGCAATCTGCTATTTTTGTTTGTTTTTTTAAAACTGGACACAGTAATTGAACATCAAACTGATAACAGTAGTAACCCTAAGGGTAGCAGGCTTATAAACAATTTTGATTTTTCAAATTCTATGCAAGTATGTTTATTTATTCATAATTAGAAAAGTACAAGTTTTTTAAATTCATGATTTTTAAAAGATAGGTTGTGTAAGTATCCCACTTAACACTTAAGACATGGTTATATTCCAGAAATAAATCATATTTTTAATGAATTAAACAAATATGTTACCGTATTCAGGGGCAGCTTCAGGTAGAGGTAAGGAGGTGGGCCCTAGAGTCAAATGCCTTGGGTTCAAACTCAGCCCCTGCCACTTGCTAGCTGTATGACTTGGGCAATTCACTGAACTTCTCTAAGTCTCAGTTTCCTCACGGGTAAAATGGGAAAGATAGTCTCCACAACACAGGACTGGTTAGGACATTAGGGTTCAATAAATGTCAGTTCTTACTATATACCACAGAACTCCTATTTAAAGGAAAAGAAAGAATCATAGGGTTAAAATTTAGAAGGCAAATTAAACTCTTGCACAAGTCAAAACTCCTTTCCGTGCTAATCTTAACAGACCTTAACCTGGTCTCTATCGGAACACTTCCAGGAACAGAGTTCAGTACCTTAAGAGGAGTTTTTGTTGAAAGTCCTTGTATTCTGCAAAAGTTTCCTACTTAGAAATTGCGCTTTTTGATGTGCAGTCTGGCCTCTGCAGTGACAACAGTGTTTGCTCCCTCCTCAGAGCTTGTGAAATATGTGAAGACAGCTCTTACGACTCCCCTTCAAACATTCTTCTTAATCCAAGCGGCCTTCCTGTGATCTGGGAAGGTCATTGCTGT